TTACCTATATTTCCTCGGTCTGGCAACGGTGTAAAAAACCGTGAAGTGTAATCGTGCTTGGATCATATTTACACTCCGATGACACATCCGTTACATTTATGGTTTTCCTGATTTACGTCTGTTACTCCTCCATTACCCCTCCTCAGATACTGTTCCTGAGCCATACGTGGTTTTTCATACTGTTCACCTATTTTCCCCAACCTACAATGTCATCTGCCCTTCTTTTCTGAAAATTATCGTTCTTCATAGAGAGCTGTATAGTCACCCTATCTCTGAAATCAGTCCCTGGGCAAAAATGTCATTATCTGTCTGGCCAAGTTCCATAACCAGTGGTGCATTCTGTAAATTTTACCTCAAGAGTAAGTTTTTTGATCTGTAAAGATTCTAGTTCCCTTTTGTTTATTGTTTTAAGGTACGATCAATTTTTGTCAATGCATGAAACATCGTTACTATTGCATCGAAAAATGCTTGTTAAATACATTGAAAGTTCGTTTTACCTTAAGAATAAGTATTTTCAGATGTAACGATATTCGTTCACTTTTATTTAATGTTTTAAGGTGCGATCAATTTTTGTGAATTCATGAAAATTTGTAAAATTTTTCTCTATTCAGCAAGTCAATATTTTTTTTAATAATACAGAAACTCAGACCTCCAAAAATGTTTTCTATATTTCTACGTGATAACAGAAAAGGAAAACATATTTTTATATATGCTGGAGAGTATCTATATGCGTCCATCTACAGATGTGTATGCTTGATTATAGAGAGGTGTAAACAAGATCTGCTTTGCCGAAAAGCCTGTCCTTCGAGGCTATTTCCAGAAAACAGGAAGACACAGTGCGGTCAGGTCAAGGAATATCTCGCAAGCTTTCCAAAATATTTTTTTGAGTTTACTGGACTCCACGGAAAGCATGGGTCAAATGCCTCACGACTTTATCTTTTATTCATGAACTACTGCATGCAGTATCTAGTTGCTGATTGACTGAAATGCCAACACTGCGGTCATCTGCCAATCAGCAACTAAAGCTCCCACATTCAGCGGGTGATGAACGTAAAGGTCAATTTTTCACGTGGAGTCTTGCGGCTGCAATTAAAACTGAACTTCAGGAGCTTCTGTTGGTCATGCCTGACAAAATAAGTTCAGCATCTTGTCAAATTTGGCAAAGTTCCATAATTATGGTACTCCATCTTCTCCGAGCGCAAAATTTTATGACAGCATGGATTTCTAAGGCTTTTACGGATTGTCATGCAAGCGGATCGCGCTTATTACAAACGCATCGACGCAAAAGGATCTTTGAAGTTATATTCCCGTGTAAGGTTCAACATGAAAAAATATTTAGATTTATTTTTAAAGCACTTGAAACAGTTAAATAAAGTTTGCTCCAGCAGAAGAGCAACTATTTTTAAAAAAATCCCTAAAGAAATAAAATCGGTTGGTTCAAAATTACCTGGACAGTTTTTCGGCCGGAACTTCAGAGGAAGATAACTGACAAATATGACACGTTGGATGTCCCACACGTGCATTATTATTTTGCCTTCAATTTTTGAGGTGGGCAAAAAACCATCCATCAGGCCAAACCGTTATCGATTCGAAAATTTTCGTTTTGTGTGGTCTGAAAGTCTCGGTATGCCAAACTGAACTTCTGATTCACGCAGCTGAACTTTCAGTTCGTTTAACTGAACTTTTAGTACGTGTAACTGAACTTTCAATTCATCTGACTGAACTTTCAGTTCGTCTGACCATCCGAACTTCGTTCATCGGTTCACTTCACCGCCGAAGTTGGGTTCCAGGAACCGAAGATTTGGTTCCACAAACCGAATAGTTGGGGGTGATATGGAACACCGAACGTTCCGTTTACCGAATTTTTTTTCGGTGAGTATATTGTACGAAATTTCGCACACTCAATTAGTGATGCATCTGATTACAGTTACCAGCTTTATAATAAGCACTGCCAGAAATCTAGAACTACAGACGACAAGATTTCCCGGGGATCTCATATAATCAGCAGGCTGATTGCTGAAATCGGTAGACAAAACTATAGACAAGTATGATAAAAGGATATGGCGGGATCCTATTGGTGGAAGCGGCTGGTTGAAATGGATAAAGGGGGTAGGTAATAGACTAACTAACAGCAACCCACGAGAGATCCTTTAATTAGTCCATCATTTTCTCCCATGGTCCATAAGAACCACCCATTTTAACCAATAGGATTCCTCCATACTCTTTATGTCTTCGTTGTCTATCGCCTTGTCTATCAATTTCAACAATCAACCCACAAGAATCTAATAACGACCAACATTCTTTTTTTTCCGTATGTCTGCACGGAGAAAAAAAACCTCGTGCGTGGGACCCGAGGTTTAGGTCATTTGGATCTCTGAAGTTTTCGGATTGAGCGTCTGAACACTTTAGGTCTAGCTGTCGAAGTGTCGAGGTTCGAATCACACATCTGAAACTTCAGTTCTTACATCTGAAGTACTCCAGATGTGAGAACCGAAGTTTTTCGAATGTGAAAACCGAAGTACTTCAGATGTAAGAACTGAAGTTTCAGGTGTGTGATCCAAACCTCAGCAGCTGGACCTAAAGTGTTCGGATGCTCAATCTGAAAACTTCAGCGATCCATATGACCTAAACTTCGGGTCCCACGCACAAAATTGTTTTCTCCGTGTTGTCCATAAGAACCACCCATTTTAACCAATAGGATCCCTCCATACTCTTTATGTCTTCGTTGTCTATCGCTTTGTCTATCAATTTCAACAATCAGCCTACAAGAATCTAATAACGACCAACATTCTTTTTTTTCCGCACGTCTGGCGGTCCATTCAATCCGACCGAGGTTCGCATGAGCGGTGCGGGTGAAAAGAACGGAAGGTCCCGATCTGGAAACAGCGGATCTCGTATCGAGCGATATTCAAATTCGAGAGGCTGCGGCGGGCGGCGGCGGGGGGCCGGGCTCCCCAGGGAGGGGGGAGGGCGACCGGTACCGGGCAGGTCGCCAGATGAAGGAGCGACGGAGCGGGCCCGAGGAAGAAATACGGCCGTTTCGATGCTGCACGGGGCAACGCTCGAGCGGGGTTGTTGTTGAACCGTCCCAAGAGCCGAAGAGTCAACGATCTTTCGCGGTCAGGGACAGATGGATAGTGGAATGTGGCCTACGGCACTGCAAGTCGTTCCCGTATAAAAGGAAAGGGCAGTGGCCCCGCAACCAACACTTGCATCCTTACGTCCAGGTAAGTCGTCCGCCGCCGCGCCGCCCGCTTCCGCCTCACGACGTAAACAAACCCAATGCTTATCAGTGCCCATCCGTTTCCGCCCGGTTTTCGCAATTCCGCCCTCTGTAGCTCCGTCCGCGGGGGTGGCACCCCCTCGAAATTGTGGTGTTAAAAGTGATTTGATTCTTTTTTCGGTAGTGGTTCGGATACACGGAAGCATTTGACTTGTTACGCGTGTGTGGTTTCTTATTCTTTCTCCTTTGTTTGTAATCGGATCTGTGGCAAGGAATCATACACGGAGTAAATTAAATTGCTGCTTTAACAATCCAATTGCTAAAAAGGTGACTGCAATGTTTCAAATGTAGATTTTACAACACAAAAATGCTACTTTAACCACCCTTATAGTTAAATTAGCTTTCCACTATTGTAGAAATGTACATTTGAAACATTGCAGTCACTTTTTTTAGCGATTGAATTGTGAAATCCGCATTTTCATTTTTTCCGTGTATCTTCCGGGAGACAGTTTTTTCAAAAACTTAAATCACGTTCTCCTACAACTTAATTTTTTTTTTCTTGAAACATAAGCACTTATATTGTCACCTTTCAGCCAAAGTATCACAAGCGCCATGCGACGTTTAAAAATTTCCACAGTCATTTACTTTTATATATAGAAATTGTTGGTTGAATCTGTTTGAAAATTTCACTGAATTTTATCGGCAGTACAAAGAAAATTCAGCGAAATTTTCGGACATCTTCGTTGAACAATTTCTCTGTAAAAAATTGAATGGGGCGGAAATTTGTAAACGTCGCATGGCACTCGTGATACGTTGATCGGAAGGAGACGATATCTTCCTTAATTTTTGAACTTTTAGGGTCAAATCTGCGCCAAAATTTTCAGATTTTTATTCTCCTAGCATTTGCAAAAAAGGAAACATTCCTCCCGGAAGATAGGGTCCCTTTCCTCAAATCCGATCATATTTACATTTTAATACTGATTTTTTTCCACAAACGTTTACCTTATTGTTCTGTAGTTTTTTTTTTGGGGGGGGCGGAGGGTAGGGTGTTTTAAATTTTAAAATTTCCGGAAGAGGGATAAATATTTGATTAAATTTACAATTTTTTCATCCACAAGAAATTAAAAAAAATTCAATGGTCTTTACTAGGATTTTAATTACTGTGATACATTGTATGAACACTGTTAACAATCTTGAATTTAATTTCACTTTGGAGCCAATTTTGTTCCCAGAAAACTCGAGTTTTATCATATCTTACAAAATAAAATAATATCATCGCATATAAGCTCTATATAATACTATCAATAAAGTACTTCGATTCAAAGCTATCACCCCCTTTTTTGGAAATAAATCTATCTTGAATATGCGAAATTAGTCATCCTGAGATACGATTCGATCTCAGATATGAAGAAATCCGGAAGAAGGAAGATATTATAGGTATAAATGAGGAGCTTGCAGGACAAGGCGCATAAAAGCAGTTTCTGAAAAAATCGAGGTATTAACGATTTCAATTAAAATTAGTCTTAGTGCATATTCTTTGACAAATTTGCTCCAAGCATCAAAAAGGCAGTTTGAGCTTTCTTTTCGCCATAAGGATCCATGTAATTTTCAAACTTCAAAAACGTATTTCTCAGAATAGCAAAAACTGCACTTATGCGCCTTATCATCCAAGCCCCTCAAATGAGATAATGTTCTTCAGAACTGCTAAAATAAGTCTCTTATCGGCAAATTCTTATTCGAGGCTTATTTAGCGTTGACTCCAACACGTCTAACACCAGTCTAATTATATTTCCTTTCTTCAATTTTTTGCAGTGAAAATGTCACCTTATATCGTGAGTGCAATTTTTGCGGCTGTCCTCGGCCTTGCCCATGCGCAAGTGCCCGGATTCGGAGGATGCCCCGAATTCGTCGCCATGTCCGACTTCGACATGTCCAGGGTAACTAGCATCCCATATTTTCTGGCGGCGTGGCATGCATTGCGATAAATCGATTGATCTGTCATTTAAACCTACGGAAAAGGATCGATTAACAGGGTGTTCGCAGCGAACACCTTAATAATCAATTCTTAACCACGGATTCAAATGGGGAAATATCGATAATCGATCATTCACGCCACGCCACTGTCTTTTCCATATATACTACTGGCACTTAATTACGCACAATTATACGTCTTAAATTTTGTAATCTTATTTAAATATTTGAATTACGAATCGATAGCTCCACACAAATAGACCAAGCTTAGTAGGCTTAGTTTCGGGCCACTTTTTAGTGTTTAATTTTTAAACTTAGTAGGTACGTTTAAGGTCAAATTTTGGGGGAAATGAGCAGAGAGTAGTTTTGAATTCAACTTTTCCAGTCAAAAATTCAAAGTCGAGCAACTTTAATGTAAAGACAGTCGATCAAACTGTGTCCTTAACATATGGAGGAATAAAACTTTAAAAAAAACTCTTGTGGAGGAATAAAGCTTCAACCGTCTTCATCTTGGTTCAAACTTGATGGAAGTTAATGGTCATCTTCCAAACTCGTTCAAAATTCTATTAACTCTCAATGTGAGAGGGAAGATTCTGTTGTAATTTAAAACAACTCGCACATTTTTTTTTCAAAATCCTGTATTCAGATACTTTTTCACTTTATAAGTAAAATTCGGCTTTATTTCCATCATGTTAAAAATTTCGTGATTTTTAATTTTTGACGAAATTTTCGGTAAGAGCAAAATAAACACTGCAAAGTATAGCAATCCACCTATTGATTTTTAATTTTCTCATTTTTATTTTCAGTTCCTTGGAACTTGGTACGAAGCTGAACGCTACGTGAACATTTTTGAAGCTGGAACCAGATGCGTGAGGACTAACTACACCAAGGCTAACGACGGTCGCTACTTAGTTTCGAACGAAATCACTAACAGATAGTAAGTTATTTCTGTAACGTACATTAATTTAAAATGAGTGGTGAAACTAATATTTTTTCAGATGAGAAGGAGACAAGTAACTTTTCGGAGTTAGAATTCTGGAAAATTCTAAAGAAAAAAGCACCTCTCGCTATCTTATTGAAGGAGGGGGATGACCAAAATGCTCACAAAAATTTGGAGGACTTTTGGTTGCAAAGTTATAATAATCTAGAAAATCAATTTTTCGGATGAGATACCTAGGACGTTTCTGCATAATTTCTCATCGGTCTGCAATCGCTGATATGCAAGCTCTGTTCAATCAGAACAGAGACTTTTGAATAGAGGAGGGGTACTAGTATAGTCAATGTATTAAAATTTCATATTTTTAGGAGGATTAATTTACTTCCCATAATTCTCTGTTGTGAGTTTAAAGAAAAGAGAAAAACATTGTTGATATGCAAAAAGTTTTGATTTTTATAGGGAATAAATTAGCGCTTCTTTTCGAGCACTATCTACCTTGTAGTGCATTAACCTCGACACGTGTTAAACGAAATTAAATTCCCGCTATAGGTATCTATATTGAACATTAACTTCACAAATTTGATCATTAACTTCATCTCAGAATCGGAGAAAAAGTTGCTTTTGGCATTGATTGACATTTAAAAATGTTGAAGCAGTCCCAAATATGTCAGTGCACAATGACACCTAGATATTAAGGGCACAAACCCAACTCTCTGCATCAGTAAAAGAAACGCAGCTGAGTTTCAACGTGTTTTATTTCCTTCCACCCTTCCATCAAAAAATTCTTATTCAAAATTTCTGAATTTACATTAATCTGAAAGAACTTATGATTTATATAAAGCTTTTCTCTATTAATGTGTTTGCCGTAAATGGTGTGCAGTTTTTTTATTTGTAAGACCTACAAAGCGTTGGAAGTAATTTTTATTCGATTTTTCTTTTCACTCGTTCTAACCTCTGATGTAACTTTTTTCAGCACTGGTGTCAAGCGAGTTTTGGAGGGAGAAATCAGACTCGTAGTCAAGGGTGCCGAATCCAAACTGAATGTTAGGTACCCCAACTTGCCAAGTGAGTAAAATTAATTTACAAATTATGGTTATCTTTAGCTAAGAATCCAAATGGTGAAATTTGCTTTTCGCGTTTAAAAGCCCGATAAAAACACGGACAAGGGTTTGAGACCCCAATATCGTATTATTTTCATCATTTGAGGTCAAAGTCATTTTTTAGTAAAAAAAACTGTTCAATTTTAGAATGGGGACGTTTAATCTTTGTTTTCCGAAAAATTCAGCAAAGTGATGAGACATTTGGCCAAAGGTATGCCGTATAAATATTGGAGGAAATTTCAAACTTGGTCTGAAAGCTTTGAACAATTTTTATTAGTTTCTCTGTAAATATTGATGGCATGAATCGCAGCTCAGTGATCATTATTGGCGAATCCACTCAATGAATAGACTGAACTTCATACATAATTCGGTTCAATATTAGCAAAGCCAAATATTAAAAGTATGTAATATTTAGCTTTGCTAATAATAGATCAACTTAATTTTAGCTCATGTAACAGAATTTGATCCTCAAAACAATAAATTGCAACATTATTATATTAAGAGAGAAATGCACTTCCAAAGCTTTCAAAATTGATTCTCTTGGTTAATATATCGTCCCTTGGCTGACATAAGGGCGTAACTACACATTGAGATGAGCCTGGAAAAGCACTGAATTGTATGGAGCCCAGGGTTTATTGCAGATTGTAGTTACGCCCTTATGTCAGGTTGGCGACGATATATTCATTGTGATTTTCTAATGTTCCTTCTAAATTTTATGAACCAACTCATTGTTTGCCACCCCAAATAATAATATATTTCTTTCTTCTTACAGTTCCCTACGACACTCAATACTCAGTTTTAGAAACTGATTACGATGACTACGCCGTCATCTGGTCTTGCTCATCTCTTGGAATCGTCAACACTCGTAAGTTTTTTTTTGTACTTATTTCTTTAATCTCTTCAAATTTTGAAAATACATATCATTCATTGAAAACTCTACGTCACGATCCGTAGAACCACTGGCACGGCGTAAACTCATATTATTTGATTTTAATCCATTTTTAGAAAATGAAATCCAATTTTTGAGGACGACTCCCTCTTTTAATATTTTACATTTTACATATATTTTTACGAAATTCCTAAGGAATAGTCTTCTTTAACACATGAGAAACGGGTTTTTGTAAAAACAAGAGATCTATGCGTAAGTTAAACAGCAAAATTCCCTCTAATTATCGAAGCTGTCCATCGCGTACCTAGAAATTTTAATAATTTAACTTAGATCCCACTCTTTGCCTAAAGAGAATATTAGCGTCACTAGATTCCTAAGCGTGATTTTTCCACTCTGGAACTTTTCGTCAGCTCAGTGTCATTTTTTGAAAGTTGGCAAACTAGAACCGAAATATACCGAAAAATAGAATAATTTCCAACCACACTCAACTTTTACGAGGTAAAACCCCACTGTGGTTTTTTTAAAACTAAAAAAAAGTGCTCGACAGTTTCTTTATAAGACTGAATTTGAGCACTAACTACTTACTTTGAGCATATTTATGATCAGTTATTGGAGTTGCTTCTGTCTTGGTACACGATAGTAGAGGACAAGGATATAACATACTCCTGGCAACATTGAGAGGATTTCGTGCCAGTAAATATCTCTCTCGTGAATACGTGTCATCCGTTGATAAAAGAATGAATAAGAAAAAAATTTAGCAGCGAGTTAAGAAGTTTTCAAAGGTCACGTTGCGATGTGGAACAGAGGAAACGAAAAAATATAGGTGAGAAATGCGGTGGAATGATATTTCCACCAAAAAGAGAAAAAAAAATCAAAACAAACCCAGTCAAAGACATGCGAGTCTGAATGAGATTCTAAGGAATGCCACTCTGGTCATAAATTTTTGATCCTGATTCCTCTCAACCCTCTCCAGTTCGAGCGTGGTTCAACGAACCCGCGAGATGTTGTCAAACTGCTTTTAAAATTTCCATATTCTCATTTGAGCCGCCCACTAAAAAATAAGTGTGTATTTTTTCTTTCTTTTTCTTACGTTGGGCAACAGGGAGTTGGCTCCCACGCTCAAACCTGGGAGGTGAGCTTCTCTCGAGCTGTTGAGTTCAAACTGCATCTAAAACGTTGAACATGCTAGGCATTAAATTAATACAGCCAAACGTTGCAAGTTCTTAATATTTTTCCAAATTTACGCCGAAAAATTCATCATTTTACACGATGAACTGGCAACTTTAAATTTATCATTATTAACATTCCATCCATTCCGTATTCCCGTTTGACAGACTAAACTCGTCATTAGAATACAGTTCTTTCTCCGTTTCCTCTTTCCAAATTAGGAAAATAAGTGATCATTTTGTGAGAGACCTTTTACGTTTATGAGCTTTGCGTTCATGATGAATTCAAATATTCAAACGTTCGCATTTGACTCTTGTGGTGACGAAGTTGATACTTGGGGCTTGATTTTAAGCTTTCAGATGGATATGTAAAACCGAATCTCTCCGGATGAACATTTTTCTAATTCCTTTGCTCCGTTTAAAGTCCCGTTAAAGTCTTTAAATAATGTTATGAATAGTTTCCAAGATCAGACATGCAGAAAAAAGAAAAGGCTGCTGAAAAACCTTTACTCTCATCTCTACATGATAATGTGCGGCCTTTTGCCAGCGTGGACGTCTTTTGATGTGATTGTTTAACATTCAAGATTTCAAAAATATTGCTTCAATTGTATTTAATGCAACATTTATTAAAGTTCAAGTTAAAATTTAAAGTTCTTTGAAAAAACCAAGGTTACTGAACTTATAGACATTATAAATTCAAATAATTTGCATTATACATACGTCGGTGCCAGTTTGCGGTTCTCGGGGAATATAACTTCGATGACTTGAACATTCTGTTAACAAACAAAAAAACGTGAAGGGAAAATAAATGAAGTTTCGAAAGGACTTTCTGACGTTCCAGTTCAATCAAGTCTAGTCAAGTTGTGTCTGTACACTGAGGTAAAAAGTTCGGGAAAAGGAACTGAATTGCGGATCTAGTTGTATACCCAACTTTTCCGATTCAAGGAACCGAAGATCTTGGTCAAAGGAACCAAAGTTCGGTTTTTCTGACCGAGAACGTCGGTTACCTTACTCGAATAATACGGAGTTCCTTATGTTTCACCAAACTTTCTCGCTCACTGTCAATATTTAATGTGGGTAAATGAACTTTGAATTGGAATTGGAAAAACAAACTTGGATTTGATGGAGCTCGAACTTTGAAAAGTTGGCTAAAAAGTTTGATCATGTCCAATACGTTCATTTTTAATGAGTGGGGTGGGAATAATTAAAATGGATTTAATTGATGGTCGAAGTCGAAAACTGTGTATCAGCATCACAATGTTACAAAATCTCCGACCACGTTTCATTTTTCTAAGAGAAAAGATTTTTCCTCGGAATTTTCTGCGATTATGTTTGAATACGTGAAGAAAAATCACAGAAAATTGCAAGAAAAACCACTGGTTGGTTTTCTCCTTTTTAAAAAATAGAACTTGAGCGAAATTTCACAACGTGGCAATCGGAGACACGCATTTTTCAACTTTAGCCATCGATTTAATCCATTATAATTATTCCCATTTCATATCCATATAGTCCATCCCAATATATATATTAAAACTGAAAGTATTGAACACAATCAAACTTTTTACCCAACTTTTCGAAGTTAAGCTCAATCAAATCCAAGTCTTTTCCCCCAATTCACACACATTGCTTTATTGCTTTCCCTGTCGTTGTGTATATGAGACTTGATTGGACGTATTATGCTGAAAGGAACTATATGCATAGGGTTTGGGTGTGGCATCGTTCCTTTTAGCACAAATATGTCCAGTTGTATCGTCCTGGAGACAGGTTAAACCTTTTAAGGCATAGCGTTCTGAATTCGCAGCAACGCTTTTTGGGGGTTTTTAAAAATTAAATATTTCCTCTGTGGCATGATTTACCGAAGTTTCATTAGTTCTCTCTTCTTTTGAATAATTAATTCCCAAAAATTTTAAAATTTTGAAAAAATATTTGGTACCCTATGCTTTTTATGCGAGTTACAACATACGCTAGTGTCCCCCAGAATATAGGTTAAAATTTCTGAAGCAGCAGCCCGTGACAATGTTGATGTCAAAAATATAGGGGGAAAACGGGAAACAAGGCTTAAAAAGTACACATAAAAATCCGAGGCGTCTCGGCTCAAAACTGACCCATTTTCAGTCGGAAGAATAAAAATAAAATATAAAAATTCCAAATAGAAACCTGCAGACTACATGATCGCCGAGAAAATCCAATATTTCTTCAGCCAATTTTCTCGGCGATCATGTAGTCTGCAGGTTTCTTTTTGGAATATTTATATTTTATTTTTATTCTTCCGACTGAAAATGGCTCACTTTTGAGCCGGAACGTCTCGGATTTTAATGCGTACTTTTTAGCCTTGTTTCTCGTTTTTTCTCCTATGTTTTTGATATGGCCCCCAGAATCTGAGATTCAAAATTAATTCATGCCATAAGGGGATGATTTGAATCAAACTTGGCCGTGAAAAAATAGCCATGTCGTAACACATTTTAATTCCGTTCGACAGAACAAGCCTGGGTGCTGACCAGACAGAAGCTGCCATCCGGCACGACCCTGCAGAAGGCCTACGGAGTCCTGGACAAGTTCAAGCTCAGCCGCAGCTTCTTCTTCAAGACCGACCAGGAAAGCTGCAACTTGGCCGAGACCATCAAGACCGACCAGGCCGCCAAAGACGGCGCAGACAACGTCGTGCCCGAAGTCATCGCCGCCGCCAGCGAGGTTGAGCCGGTCAAGGTGCCCGCCCCGGTCGCTGCCCCACCCGCCGCCGCCCCCGCCCCCGTAGTCGCCGCCCCCGTAGTGGCCCCCGCCGCCCCCCACCACGACCACAAGGAAGGGCACAAGGACCACAAGGAGAAGCCCGTCACTGACGCCAGCCACCACCACCACCAACACCAGACCCACCACGTTCACAAGGACGCACCACACAAGGACTCCGTGCACAAGGACTCCGTACACAAGGACTCAGTACACAAGGACTCCGTACACAAGGAAGTCTACCAACAATTCCCAAAACACTAAATCTCACCTCCTGGGGGTCAATCAACCATCGCAACTGAGCTTGAAGAAGTATTAGGGTGAGAATCTTACAACGTTGATCAAAAAAGGCTCAGTTGCCCCACCCACCTCCCTCTCAGAAGCGCTCACTGAACGTTGGGCATCCGTTCCCAGGATGTAAGTCAGTCGTTTTGAGTTTCGACTCACGATCTGAAGAGTGGTCTCTTGATTTGCACAACTTCTCAATTTTGTCTTGCTGATCTCTCGTCATTTTTGACCTCATTGCAATCAAAATCTTTGTACAGGTGCGGGTTACGCACGTTGTTGATCGCTGAAAAAAAAATAAGAATCAAGACTTAGTAAAGAATTAAGAGTTTAGTTGTATCTACGATGTAAGTCGATAATTAACTTGTTCATACGTCAATGACACTACGGATAGGACGTTTTTCCTCGATCCCTGACAAAGAATACTCTCAAATTTTGCTATCTTTTTTACAGAAATATTTATTTATTGAATAGTAAGGCTTATGAATTTACTTAATAGATTAAGTTTCGGGTCCATTCGGAACATGTGATATGCTTAATTGCAATATTTTTTTTTTGCAAGCCAACTATAATTTTATGCCGTCTTTGCCATAAACTTCCATAATGTGTGCCATGTATTATGAAATACATTTTTTTTCCTCCGTGAGTTGTTTCCATTTCATTTATTTTTCCTAATATCTTCAGGGTTTACCTCTTTACCACCGTATTTATATGAGATTTTCGTTTTAATGACCAGCTTAACATGTTGTATGTAATTAAAATTGCTCCTAACGTAACATTTTCATTGAATAAATGGAAGTTGTGAAACAAACTTAATGCAATATGATATTAATATTAAAAAATAAAATGGGGAAAAGATATCATTACCGCTTTTTGACACCGGGATAAAAAAATAATCTGTTATTGTAGCCGTCAGCAACTCAAAAAATCACAGAGAGTTTAAAGATGTTTCAGTTACTTCGTTCATCAGTACTATATTATCGTGCTGAAAATTGAGGCCTTTGGCTGCAATAGAAGGGCATGGCTCGATTGCGGTGTTTCGGAATCTCCAGAGCCAATTTATATTTTACAGAGGAAAATATCGGGTGAATTTTCTGAAATTTTCCGTTTTCAGCATTGTAAAATCATGAAGAAAATTCTGTAATAGTTACAACTCGCATTAAGTACATTCGCTATCATCATAGTGGATGAAACGATGAGACACGTTGAAAAGATTCGAGACACCACAACCAAGATATGCCCTTTCTGCACCCAGATTGCAACCAAACACAGTTTATTTAGTACGTTTTTTCGTCCTGAAATTCCACTAGTGTGTGTGTTTACGAAGGAACAGTAGCTCGCTTTCAGAATTTTTTTCTTGCAAAATTTAAACCATTTACATTACTTGCTGATGTGAATCAGTGTTATACTTTTGATGAAGAGGGAAGCATCACTGATACCATCATACTTCTTTTCAGAGCATTTGCGTAACTTCGTTTATCTTCATGCAAACACTTACTCAGCACAAATAGAGGCAAGATCACACTCATACAAGTTATTTTACTTTTCATCTATCCAAAAATAAAAAAGAAAATGTAAATATTTACTAAAGAATATACACCTACGTAATAAAATCAGAAATTATCGTGAGCTATAAAATCTATCTGCTATTATTTTAAATGTGTTAATATGGTAGAAAATCCCCCTGTAACAGAACGGGGAAATAGTCTTGCGTTTTGATACCGAATTCAGTCACCCCACGATCTAATGGTCTCGACATCGTGTCCATTCAACTTGCTGGGCATTAACTAATTTATTTAAAGCCGTTCTGAATTTCAGTAACCAGCCTTTTATGCATTTTTACCGCTCAACATAGCTAAGATCATGAGTTCATCTAAAATACGAACTTCCTCCAAGCTCTCCGGGTTTTTTTCTTGGTTGCATATATTTGGTTATATTTAGTTAGTTATTTTATTTAAAGTCATTCAGCATCCTAGGCTATAAACGTCTTTATAAAGAAATTGGAGGATGGGTGTATGTATTGGAAACGGGCTCAGGTGTGTAAATCTGCACAGCTAATCTAAGGACTATTTTCTATAAAAGTCAAGATAAAGTAATGACTCTATACGATAGTTATCGGAAGTATCCATGCAATATGTATTCATAAATAACCTTGAGCAAGCACACGGCTTACCAGATGGTAATTTTAAAAATAGTGTCACATAGTGCCAGAGAGCGCTATGAAAGTTGGTCTTTGCATGAGTATTTTGTAATTATTGTTGTGGATTTTAAAGGTTGTTTCCTCTGCCTTTGAAATGACAGCTGGAGGACATAAAATATTGCAACATCAGTAGACTTTAAAATCACGGATTTTAATTAATTAAACATGCTTTAGTTATCTTCACCAAGGGCACAACAAATGTCTGTTGTAGAAAGATTGTAGAATGTCTGACGTCAACAAATAAATATTATTTTATTAGAAAACTCTCCTTATTGCCGCAAAATGTGGAAAAAGTACGAAACAACTCAATTGAAATTAATACAACCTCATTAATTAAATTAATTATCGATGTAACGGTTGTCTTCTAGTTTAATCTCGTGTTTTTGAACATACAACCAGTAATACTGTTTTTAAATTGGAGGAAATGTACCCTCTACTGAAAATTCCAACAAAACATAAAAAAATAAAAAAAATTAACGCACCAATTTCTATGTTAGGAGTAACTCTTATTACAGGTATATCATTTCGAAAATTGGTTTCAAGCCTATCCTTTGAGAGATGTATCGTAAGAAATTTTATGATCGGTTTGAATCACAAAAATCCCTTGCAAGAAAAAAAAATTTAAAAAAAGTTCTCGACTTTCTTGCGTAAAAACCATCCACGTTGCTTAAGTGAGAAGAACATTTTGGAGAATAAACCAAAACCATATTCCTTGAATTTCCGAGTATGAGGAAGCGTTCTTAAATTACTTGACGCACTTTTTCGGCATTTTGAACCCCACTTGCCCCTTGTAACGCTTTTGTGACAGAGGATGCAATATATATCCTTTAATACGTACAAACGAAATGGTGCAACGCCCTAGAGCAGTAAGTAATTTATGAATAGCTCCTAATACCGCACAAAGGAGAGCGTATAACTTTCTGGAAAGGATAGCCCCTCGAAATCCTCAAATGAGAGTAAATAATTGGTTAAGTTAAGTGAGATACAGATTCTCATTCTCATCGCCGTAAGAATATCACATCGTCCACTAAACATACTCTCTGATAAAGAATGAGTATATCTGACAAAATGAAGGCGTTTTTTGCCCCCTTAATTATTACTCACAGTCCTCACTTGCCCATCCTTGTTCATGTCAGTGTTCCCTGATCCGTCGTTAGTTTTTCATCAGTTTAGTTTGTAAAAAATCAACTATTGTTTACGATAATGCCTAAAATAATATACCGTTGTACCTACCACTGCCAGATTTAAACACATATCTTAATAAGACTAATAAAAAAATGATTCTGTTGAGGAGTCGTCTCGTCTCGTTTTAAAAGTGAGACTCAAAACGGATGCTCAGAAGTCAGAAGAGTATTAATTTAATTTTCTTGACTTGTTTCAATAATTCAAACCAACATATCGCCTTTTTTATTCCTCAATTTTTGTAATACAGAAGTAAACAAATTGACACAATAACATAAATTTAAATTCATATATAATACAAGGAAGTCAACATTTATGCCCGAACTTCAGTTAGAATTATCTTCATGTGTCTCATGCTGGTGGTTCCAAAAACTTGGCAACACTGTGAATACTCCATTTAAATTATCGATTTTAGCTGCCTAATCTAAAATTGACTGTTTTACATACATTTAAAAGAGGAAAGCCGTGCTGTCAACTTGCAAGAATCGCTACTGATGGGTTACACTGAGAGACTTTAACGCACGGTTAGAAAAGTAAACAAACAATTAATGTCACCCTTGGAGGAATTATTCCTGGTTAATTTTGCAGATATTAACTGTTAATTGATTGTTTCCCATTTCATATATCCTCCTTTAAATAGCTTGAGGAAGGATACATGTCCTAGCAAAAATTTATACCTCAGAGTAAACTTGTATTTTACATATTTCAACCACTGGAAAAAAAACACATTGGATCTAGAGTCTAGACTCTTAAAAACATCGACAAGAAAAAATACTCTTGATTCAATCAGATTTAAGCTTAAATCAAGAACCCAGCCTCTTAATTTGAGCGGATTTCCTTTTTATTTGAGCTTAAATCTGATTGAATCAAGAGTCCTTTTTCTTTGTCAATGTTTTCAAGAGTCTGGACTCTAGATCCAATGTGGTTTTTTTTTCCAGTGTATTTTACATATTTCAACGGTTTCATTTCGGGGTGCTCCAAAATTCGGAAATATCTAAAGAAGAGTACATTTTTATTTAAAACTGAAAGAAATATCAAATACCGATTCATTGATCCTCGCCACAACCTCCCCCCTCTCCGTCCTTCATAAAAATCTTTCTAGATCCGCCTTTCGTTGAGCGTAATCCAACTTTTTCAGGATAAATGGACTTGTTCCGATCTCGGAAGCCGCGGGATCGGAAGCCAGGCAAAAGTGTATACCTCAAAGTAAACTTGTATTATACAGGGTTATTCAAAAATCACGCACCACTGGCCATGAGGGGGGTGGCCATTTGAAAGTTTTGAGTTGCCCCTCGCCCCCCCCCCCCCCCCCCCCCCGAGGGAGTAAAAAACTGGAAATTACCTAAAAAATTTTCTCCTTCGATATGAGGAAAAACGTCATAAACCGCAAGTCGATATCTTAATTAGAACTATAAAGTTATGGTCAATGGTGAGTGACTTTTGAGTAACCCTGTATTTCAACGGATTTCATTCCGGGGTGCTCCAAAATTCGGAAATATCTAAAGCAGAGTACATTTTTATTCAAAACTTAAAGAAATATCATTTGATTCATTGATCGATTCATTGATCCTCGCTACAACCTCCTCCCCCCTCTCCATCCTTCATCAAAATCTTTCTAGATCCGTCTTTCGTTGAGCGTAATCCAACTTTTTCAGGATAAATGGACTTGTTCCGATCTCGGAAGCCGCGACCGGAAGCCGGGCGGTGGATGTGCGACTAGCGGTGAGCGATGGGCCCGGCGTCGGAGCGGTCAGCTCACCGCCGGGGCGTCGCATTGGTCCTGGATGTCGCGCGGTGTCGCGGCGTCGCGGCGGCTGACCTACAATTAGTATCCGTTACACAGCGAGTCAGTCGTCGTAGCAGCTCGGCTCACAGACCCGAGAAACCGCCTCTGCGCCCGACCCGACCCCGGCCGGCGGGCTCCCCGAGTGTCAAGTGCACGTCGCATCCAGCACTCACATGCGACTCCCCAGTTTTTTCGGCGACCGCCTTTCGGTGAAGACCATCTCGTCAGTGTCAGTGCGGTGACGGAAACGGAGCCAGTGACCGCGACCTGCCCCTCCGAGAACTGACCTCTAGGTAGGTTTCTTCTCTTTCGCTTCGCGCTAACCTCACCCGTGAGCATGAAAGGTGGCGACGGGTCCTTGCTTCCTCTTCATCGCCGGATTTCGGCAGTAGATCCTCCCGCCCTCCCTTTATCCTCCTCCGAATTGCGGATACGCAGTTTGAACCCACCGTTATCTCTGTCATCTTGAACAAAAAAAGTCCATTAGTTGGATTGAGCTTGGCAGAAAAGAACCAAGGCTTTTATTTTTATTTTTTTAAAAAAACGAAAAGGGTTCACTGAAAAAAAACACATTGGATCTAGAGTCTAGACTCTTGAAAACATCGACAAGAAAAAGGACTCTTGATTCAATCAGATTTAAGCTTAAATCAAAAGGAAATCCGCTCAAATTAAGAGGCTTGGTTCTTGATTTAAGCTTAAATCTGATTGAATCAAGAGTACTTTTTCTTGTCGATGTTTTTAAGAGTCTGGACTCTAGATCCAATGTGTTTTTTTCCAGTGCTCTACTCAATGTAAGATGCTTCATGTCTCATGAAAAAAATGTTCAGTGTCAAAATATTAAAGTTTCATAAACTGCAAGGGATTTGTTTGTTGATTCATGACAAAATCCAAGAAAGCCATAGCTGCGATAACGTTTAATTTTTTTCCTTATTTTCTAATAACTTAGCGCCTTAAAAGCAAAGATAGCGAGATCGATTGAGAAAAAGGAGCCTCGTATATAGTTGGTCTCCACATAGATTTTCAGTGGTGGGTTTAATTCTGAAAACGGTACCAACCACGTAACGATGCTTATGAAATTCCTCCCAGCAACTGATATGCACAATCTTTGCCAAAAATATCTAATAAATAGTGATAATTAGCCAAAAAACTAAAAAATATTATAAAACTTTTTCATTAATATACATTCAACTTTTGGGTGAACATGTACTCTTTTTTAGAGCATTTGGACAGTATTTTCGAACTCTGGAGCACCTAGAAATGAAATCCGTTGAATGATATAAAATAGAAGTTTACTCTAAGGTAAAAATTTTTGCTGGGGCATGCACCTTTCCTTATAAAGTTTAAAAAAGGCTAAAAAGTGGGAAAGAACCATTTCACAGTTAATATCTGCGAACTTCACCGGAAAAAATTCCCTAAAGAATGAAATAAGTCGTTTGTTTACTTTTCTATCCATGCGTTAAAGTCTCTCAGTGTAACCCGTCAGTGGCGATGCAAATTAGCAACACGGTTTTTCGCTCTTTGAATGTACGTAAATCAGTCAATTCTAGGTTAGGCAGCTAGAATCATTTATTAAATAAACTTAAATGGAGTATTTAACAGTGTTGCCAAGTTTTTAGAGTTGCTACTGTCACCCGTAATCATGGGCCAAACGGAGAATAATCCAGGAATGTTGACTTCCTTGCATTATACAACTTTTTTATGTTTATTAATTAATTTACTTGCCTATGTATTTACGTGTTATTATATCTTAAATCAGCAGCTAAACCCAAAAAATGGATTCCACCGTGACCAGAAGTGTTTTTATGCTCCTGACAGCAGCAGCATATTTAGGAAGAGCTCAAGTGCCCTTCTTCGGCCCATGTCCTGATTTGCAAACAATGGTCCATTTTGATATCACAAAGGTACAAATACTCCTACTTTAAAACTCTTTAAGATATTCCTTTATGGAGCTCTCAAAAAAAACCATGATGATGTCAAAGTTCTACCTATCGAGGAAGATGTGTCTCAGTTAGAAGGATCCATCTGCGCGTGCATGCTACCATGAATACTTAATCTCCAATATTTATTCAAGATTACGAATTAAGTTCGATAAGGATACATTTAAAGGTCTGTCAAAAGTTTGCAACGGGTAAAAGGGTATGAAAAACCATACTGAACGTCCAAGCATCCTTGTTTCAATCTATCGCCGTATTTGTTTATGCCGCTGAGTAAATCTAATCATCATGCGGCCTTGTGGGACTCAAGATTACTTCAATTAAGCGATTATAGCATCGCACTGCGATGCCTGTCCGATTCAAAACTTTGCATGATATCTTTGATGAGTTAAAGCCGACGAGCCTTGTGGGTGTGGGTGCAATGAGATCAATAATATTTAATAGTGTCACTCGATGGTGCTTTGCTTGGTCGAGACTGTTTCATGGTTTCTTCCTCTTTGAACTATTCCTTAAGCATTCCTAAAAGCTTTGAAAGTTTATCAAAAAGAGGATATACTTTCAATATTTGTAAAATTTTAGACAAAAAATAATTGAAAAAGCATAATATGCTTTTTTATTATGCACTCTTAATTTAGAGTAGGTCTATCGAATCTTTGGAAAAACAAGAGTTTTGCCTTTTTACAGTTGCAATTTTTATCGTGCACCTTAATCTAAAGAAAAAAGGGAAGACAATTTTCTCGCGGCTTATATTGACAAAATAAGTTCGTGTTAAGTAAACAAAAATACAGTGATGCAGAAAAAAAATGTATTTAATTTGAAAATTGTAAGGTTTACAGTTTTAAAAACGGACAATTTGTCACTTACTGCTGGAGTCAAGAATGGTTGCCATCTAGTACGCGATAATGTATGAGAATTATTATAAAATTTTGGCCGTGCGGTTCCAGCATCTCCTGCTCCGTTACACCGTTACGTAGATTTTTTTCTCTCTTAATCCAAACGAAGTTTTTGGTCTTTGTCTCCTTAATAGATATTTTTTTAAAATAATTTATGAACATCTTCTCTAGAAACATTTATTGCATAAATTCACTCAATCAAAATTTAGAGTCAAATATCTATGCGATTTGGCGGCGGCATTGACGTTGCAAGTAAGAATAAAAATCGGCCAAACGAAGAAAACAGAGAAGATAAGCATCACTGAAGATATGGAGCTAAAATGAAGGAAAAAGTGTTTTTCACGATGACAAACCACAATTCCAACATCACAACAAATGACAGGCAATTTATGCCACGGTTAAACCAGTTCTGCTGAAGAAAACCTTCCTGAATGCTGAATGAGCATTGTGTTAGAACTACTGCCCTGAAAAGAGATGGTGCCGGAAAATCGTTAGTGCTGTGATTTTTTATCGCACTAACGTGTCATCATGATTGAGAGGGGGCTAATGTGAATTTTTATGAGATTAAAGACGGCACGATGGAAAATTTTGTATTTCAAAGGATGATTTACGGAGAGTGATACATCATTGTTTTCACAAAAATAAAGAAACCTCATTTTTTAATTACCATCTTCCATGCAAAAATATCATTTTCGTAGAACGTAACCCCTAGCCCGGCGTAGGTGAGTGCCGGCCAGTGCTTCAGTGGTGAGGCGTGAATGATTGATTATCAATATTTCCCAATTTGAAGCTGTGGTATAGAATAGATTATCAAGGTGTTCGCGCGGAAAAGGATCGATATACAGGGTGTTCGCAGCGAACACCCTGTTTATAGATCCTTTTCCGTAGGTTAAATGGCAGATCAATCGATACAACGCAAAGCACGCCACGCCACTGCAGTGCTTGTATCTTGCATCATTGTTTATTTCTGTCTTTCTTTACAATTATCAGAAGGTGCTGAATAAACAAAGGACCACTGAATATGGTGCATTTATAAGCATAATATTACATGTTTCTACATCAAAATTTGACATAAAACCGGATTTGTGCGGTAAAAATTATTGAAAGTGAAAGCTTAACAGAAATTTATCGAACTCACACAACGTAAATCCACATGGTCAATGAGCCGAAGTCTAAAAGGTTATCCAGTACTTGCTGTGAAACTGCGCTTAATTTCTTTACCGTGCGTTTAAATCTCTAAATCTACTGCGCACCATCCGCTACAATACGTTTCAAACGATAAAGGAGAAAACTGTGGAAGAGGAAAATGTTGTCTAAAAATAAGCTTCATACTACACAATTTTACACCTGGTCAGATTTTACTGCAAGTTTAGATCTCGATGTTCAATTATCTATACCTACAGCGTCATTTATGATTAATTTGATGAATGTTTCAGTATTTAGGACGATGGTACGAAGCAGAACGGTATTTTGCAGTCTTTCAGTTTGCGGGCAAATGCGTTACTGCTAACTACACGGCCGGAGATGATGGCGTCGTTAATGTTGTCAACTATCAAATAAGCTCATTGTGAGTAGCAATTCGAAACCTCGAAAGTAGATTTTAAGTAACTGACTAATATGCACAATAGGACTCGGAATATACATAGAAAAGGTGATACGGTAAAGTATAAGGATGAGGGATATAAACGGTTCAAATAAATAGTTTTTAAAAATGGCATCAGCGGCGCGGGCAAAGTCAAATCGCATTTCTCGAGCGCCAAATTTACAATTCTCTGACTTTGATTAGAGTCCCTTTATACTGATAGTTAAGATGCACCCCCTCATGGAGTCACAAAAGGGAATAAATATTTCACAAATTGAACGTTTTTCGTAATCTTTGATTGGCTCATTCTTAAATTCCTTTCTCCGTTCCTTCTCTCATTCCGTTTGTTCCTTATCAATCCTGTAATTCCTCGGTCCATTCCAGATTATAATCTTTGCAATTGACGAAAATTCAATATTTACTCCCATTTGTGACACTGTGGAGGGCTAAAATATAGGTAACCAATCAGAAATGGATTCACATTGTCTTAACTCTCAGTGTAAAGGCACTCTAACTTTGATCAGTTCGCAAGAGGTCAAATTTTGGAAATTTCGGTTATTCTTTGCAGCAATAAATACAAAATCAACCCCCTTACCTTTGGTTTAATGTGCATTTTTCCCTACCCTAGGGTGCATTTGCCCAACATTGTCAATCACATACCTGTTTTGTGACTTCTCAAGTTTTTCTCTTAACATAGACAATCCTCCTGCAAATGCTCTTTTGGGCCCAAAGCTCCATGACCTAACCTCAAAGTACCGACATGCCCGTAACCCCCCCTTCCCCCCCATACAGGTATTCTAGTTCATTTATCGTTTCACAGATCCAAAACTTTCCGAGGCTGTGAAGCACACAACAATATCCAGCCTCCAGGCTTCACGTTGAAGATATTGTCAAACTCTAGCACCAGCTCTATTTCTGAAAACTCCGACTAAATGTCATCATTATGTCGTAGACACGGTTCCGAGCCATTCCCCCGACTACCGGGAGAAAGTTCAGTCTCCTCTTCTTTCTGTTTGCATTCAAAATGGGCTTTTCGGTGGGTCACTCGGGCGTCCTGCTCGTTCCACTCCGCGCTACCGGAACACGAAGTTATAGCGTGACTCTATTTTCTCCTGAGCCCTGGAAAACATGGAATTATACGCAAAACAAGGCTCATCGAAAAGTGCAGTTACGCTCTTATGCTGATGGAGTGATGACGAGAGGGAGAGTGCACCGAATCCGTGCTCTATGAGCCCCAATTAAATGAACCCGTGTTTGTTATGAGGAATATGCTCCTTTTTATGAGCCTTGAAACGCTTGTATTCTTATATGCCTCAGGGTTCATTTAAAAACGGATGTGTTCCTTTTTAATGGATACGGGCTCAAAGCTTTATGATGTTTCGGGCACGCGGATGCGACAAGTCGAGTGACAATGCTTTTCGGTGCCGGCGATAAAAAAAAAAAAAAAAAAAAAAAAAAAAAAAAAAAACCGGGAGTTCACTATCGGTTTGGGTCGTTTTAGAGTGGAGTAATGTTGGAATCGAGTTTAATAGAAAAGGAACTAAGTCACATCAAAAATCGAGAAAATAGGCTTGAGATTTCATTTCTCCTCAAGCCCCAATTTAAGAGGTGATGAAGCCCAACGCCTAGTTTCATATTTGAAATGTTTTCTCAACTTTAAATTTTTGACAGGAGACAGAATTTTTCTTACTATTAAATTTGAAAAAGTAACAGTAACAGGATTTGTTATGTAGGCTTCAAAGGAGAAAAGGACAGATAAACTTTTGAACATCGTCATAGGCTATCACGATGCAGAAAAACTGTCTGCGGATAGAAAGGGATGCAAACGCAACCTCCTCAAGAGGAGCCAGGCAATGGTCTTTCAGTTTTTAAAGTTTCTAGAAACCCCGAAAAAATTATTTTAAATGAAGCTAAGCGTATTGCTACAGCTTTCTGAGACGGTATACAAAGTCATGCAGAAAAAAAAGACACTTCTCTCAGTCATAACTTAGAACGATTGGCTTATTTTTTCTATCAGTAGTTTTAATTATGAGTTTCAATTGTTTATTTAGACACTTTATAATGATTTAAAATATTTTAAATGTTAAAAAGAGTCCCTCAATTATTAAAGGAATCATTCGAAATTTTCGAAAAATACTTTGAATATCGATTTTAAGAAATTTTAAAAACAAAAATAAAAATAAAAAAATAAGTAAATTGCATTTTAAGTTATCTCCCTAATAGCACGTGTACTTATATTAAAAAGAAGAAATTCTAAAACTGAAAAAATGTAAAATCATCACAAGGTCTAATAGATAGTAGAAAGAGCCAGTGCCCAATAACACCCGTTTAAGACTGATTATACCAAAACGGCAAGTTATTTCATTTTCGGTGATGCATTACGTGCAATCATGAAATAAGCGGTGAAAACGATGACCGAGGTAAGTGCCATAACTTTCCAAGCTTTCGTCGGTCTAGCGTGGTCATTCGTGTGTTAATAGATATTTCGAGTTTCTACTCACTGAGCATGATCGAGAAGATTCACTTTCAAAACCTAGGAACTCAAACGCAGCGGGGGGACTTCGTGTTCACCATTACCTCCTCAACTTTCAAGAACAAATCGCTTGTCGTGAGAAGATCGAGGAAATCGGATGAATAGACTGCATTGATATAAATTAGGTGTGTGAAATCTCAATTTTTCAATCGAATTCGATGACTAAAATTAGAGACTTTCTTTGAATTCATTTTTGTCACCTATCACTTGTTCTGCAGATCAGAATCCAACTCAGATTGCCTCGGAACTTCAGTTGAAACTTCAGGTCTCTCTCATAGACCTTGAAATGCACTCGAGTATGAGACTAAGCGTCTCTCGTGAGACGTGGGTAGTTTCAAATAATTGCGCTTCAGCTAGAGTTGTATATAGCAAATGGGTAATTTTTATAGGAGGATTATAAATAAAAAAAAGTGGTTAGAAATGCAAACAAAATAATATGAACTATGCAAAACGATTATGCGGTTATCGGAACTTGGCTGTTTTGAAAACGCCTTCGAATGCGGCGTGATACCTCGCGCATTCCGGAGAGTTCAAATAGTTGTATCATTGCGCCGTAATAATGTGACGGAAGATTAACATGGAAATAGCCTCCATGCACGCTGGGCTTGTCGATTTCCTTTGACATTTTTGCAGTGGTGAATGCATAGCTGAAGTGGGCTCCAGCTAGAATTGTATTCCGCAAATTGGTGGTTTTTATACGAGGATTAAAAATAAACAAATGTTACGGAATAAAACATAATAATAGGAACTTTGCAAAACGATAATCCGAGTATCGGAACTCGGCTGTTTTGAAAACGCCTTCAAATGCGGCGTTATACCTCAAGCATTCCGGAGAGTTCAAATAGTTGTATTATTGCGCCTTAGAAATGCAACGGAAGATTGAAATTGAAATAGCCTTCATGCACGCTTGCCTTTAACCGATTTCCGTTAACATTTTTGCAGTCATGAATGCATAGCTTAATAATTATGGAGGAGGAAAACGAAAATAATTAAAGGTTTGAATTGAGTTTTCGAATGGCTTGTAAGCAAACTTGTATTGATTTCCTGCGTAATTATGATATTGGATATTATTTTAACCCTCAACCCAGTATTCTCTATAAGTGTGATAGAATAGAATAAATAAAAATTCGTTAATTTGTATCATTGTTGGAAGTTTTAGAGAGTTCAATTTCATAAACATATGAGGACTTATATGTAACAATGGCGGATGTGAAAAAATACCTTTTCGAAACACATTAAAAAACTGTTTTGGCATCGAGAAAATTTTGAGAAAATACTTGAGATGCGATCCTCGAGATCTGTACATTATGCCAGAGCCAAACGTATTAAATTTTTGTGCGAACAAAACAGTTTTATAAACGTTTTTCGAAAAGGTAATTTCATACATCCGCCATAGTTACATATCGACGGTGAAACTACCAAACCACGTATCTCGTTTGCGGTGTTTAAAAATCTACGCTCACATTTTATTTCTTTGAAGGAGACCAAATCAATATCATTCTTTGAAATTTTCACGAAATTTTCTCCGCACGAAGAGGAAAAATCACAGAAATTTTCAAGACTGGTTGTTGAGTAGTTTTTCATTTAAAAAATAAAGTATGACAGGAAGTCTGCGACGTCGCAAACCGAGATACGTGGTTTGGTAGTTTCACCGTCGATATAAGGCCTCATATTGCAAAGAGAATTAGCCCATAAACTTCTTGTGTACTTCCTTCTGCAGAAGTTGCGCTTTACCTGATGTATCAAAAATGTTTGACAAAGTATCGATTTTAAAAAAAAAAATTACATTTTTAAGTAAAAAAGTTACATTACTTTTGTCTCCTCTTCCTTCCTCCGGTTATCTATAGGTTACTCGACGGTTTCGAGTAGCTTTGACTGGAAACTTCACCATTAAAAACTCCTGTTTGCATGCAACCACAACAACACCAATGAATGGGTGCAACATAATCGATCCAATGCAGGAGTTTCTTAGGTCGATGAAATTAGGAACAAAAACTCTACTCCACCGCAGAGAGCGCGCTGTGCTCTCTCCATCCACTTCAAGACTTTCATAAAACAGCACCATTTCTCATATTTTTCATGGGGAAAGGGATAAAAAATGGAGTGTAACTCTAATGATAAAGTCACGATCAACAAATATACTTTATTCGGTAATAGTTTTGGTACTTTTCCTTACATTGAGACATCACTGTTGCTGAAATTTTGTCTTCAATATTTTCCAATAAATAATCAATATCAAAATTTATTCCCAGTGTGCATTATTATTAATTGTGAATTATTTGTGTTTGATTCCAGAACAGGCATTCCATCTACAATAGAGGGTCAAATTTCAACGGATAACAAACAAGGAGCATCAAAACTCTACGTTAAATTTCCTGGATTACCCGGTGAGTCTATTTGAGGTGCATTACAAAGATAACCTGAGGCAAAGATTTAATTCATATTATAAATAAATATTAGCAATTTTCCTATTAATCCAGGAACTTGTGATGAACAAATAAAAGTTATATATCTGTCAGAGACAGCGTCAAACGGATTTATCTGGTCAAATTAATTTATCTGGTCAAATTGTATAGAGGCGAATTCTTTGGTTAAAAGAAGAATTATTCCCTAAATAGACAATGTTCTGCATTTGACTGCATAAAACTGCATTTGATGCATTTAGTTGATGGACAAAGTTTTAATAGGGACTCCCCAAACAGTTAGCCAATATAATATTTGGCCTCTTATGAATTAGTCATTCAGCACAACAAATTACTGGTCAATACTAACTTTAATGAAAATTGTCCAGGTGTTCTGATTGGTTTATTCGATGACTTGGGCCAAACTCAGCACTTGACCTTGACATTTTGATGGAGTACTTTGATAATGTGACACAGGCTTTTCACTAATCCTTGTTCTCTTTCCAAGTTCTCTTATAATTTACCTACTAAGTCATTGATGTTTTTACCTTATTTTTTTTGCTTAAAAGTGTTTGATTCCTAACTACTCTAATTGTGTGTTACAGTGCCCATGGACGCGCCATACTGGGTTTTGGACACGGACTACGATAATTATTCAGTTGTATGGTCTTGCACAGATTTTGGGATTTTCAGTGCACGTATGTAAAACGAAAATATTTACATTATTAGTCATATTTTATTTGAGAAAGAAATAATCATAAATTAATCGGGAAAAACTCGCTTCACTGTTGCAATGAACGGATCTAGAAAATTCAAAATGAGGAGCCACTAAGATATAGTAAGAATTGAGCACTTTAAGAGATGTTTCTCCATCAATATCTCACACGAAAAATATTTAAAAATGGCGAAGTTTTTTCTTCGTCCTGTAAAATCGTCAGTATGGTCAGCAGTATTGTTCCATAGTCATCAGACTTTTCCTTATAGTATAATCCCGTTCTTTATATTTGATTACCGAACGAAAAATACTCACTGAAAAAAAAAAATTCGGTGTATTTACTAGGAAAAGTTTAAAATTACCACGAATTCAGGGTTCTATTTGATCCCAGTTTTTTCTTGGTAAAACTACCATTTGTGGAATTGGTAATTTTACCGAGAAATTTCGGTAAAATTATTGACTTTCTCGGTAATTTTACTGAGCCCCGGTGAAAACGCCAATATTTTTTATCGACTGTGGTAGAATTACCGAGATAAAATGACAAAGTTACCGGGAATTGATTACCAATAAAAGTGGTATTCTTACCTGAAAAAAACAGTAAAAATACCGGTTTCTAGGTAAGCTTACCAGTCTGTCTTGGTAAAATTACCAATAATTGGTAAAAAAAATGAGATGGTAAAGGTACCAACAGACCTTGGTAAAAACGCCGAGAATTTTTTTTCAGTGCTACTGATTGTGCTATCTTTTTATTGAGTACTTCTCTGTAGTTCTCTCGTTACTCTTTCTCACATTTTGAGCTGCCTTTGCACCATTACAATCCTGAACCCTTTTTGCAGGGAATGCATGGATATTGACTCGATTGCCAGAACCCTCCATTGAAGTAATGGAAAGAGCGTATGCGGTTGTCGACAGAAACGCAGTTAGCAGAGCTTACTTCATAAGAACAGATCAACGTAACTGTCCATCTGCCGCTGATCTTGCCATTGGGAGATCTAAATCAAAACACTGATTGGCTAAAGACTGAGCGCCTAACCCACCAATTTTTCCACTCTAGAAAGAACTCACTGAGTTCTCTAATAGTTGTGTGCTGAAGCGAAATTGCAGCTGGTTGTTACAAATTGGACTGCATTTTGCAATTTGGAACTATAAATTCTGGCCCGGTTTAAAAACAACGAATGTGCCATTAGTTTCCTTATGCACATAAGTGTTTTTTAAGATGAGCAAGAATTTATAGTTCCAAATTGCAAAATGCAGTCCAATTGATCCATGGTTTCAATCGAGGTTCATAAAGGAGAGAACATTAAAACTGATTTCCACCGCATCTATGAAATATGAGATCTAATTTAACAGTGCAAAACCATCATACTTGAAAATATTCGAGATCTGTGACCTTGATAGATTAGGTGAATGTCGTTTCACAGTTTGCTATCGAGAGCACGCTGTGTACAGAGGATCGCAAGTTAGAAATGTAAAAGTGAAAATGAGCAGTATATTCCGGATAACATGGCATATACACACATTCTGAATAGAGCTAAGAATACTGCAACAGTTACTAAAATTAGAAGGAAGAATGAACTGAACACACGCATGTTTAGATTGTTATCGATTTTTTTAAGTTCACTTTGGGTAAAAATGTGTTAGAAACTCGGAAATGATTCTTTCACATTTCAGTTCGATTTTAGTCAATTATGAACACAAACATTGGATGTTAAAATTTTTCGATTGGGTCACAAGGAGAAAGTTTACTGAAGAACGTATATACTGTTGAGTGAGGCGAGATACGATACAAAATTTTACGGTGAATACTTTTCAAGTTTGACTTATCTTCAAGGAATCAGAAATAAATATTTATAACACCAGAAGATTCGTCTAAAATCAGACGTTATAAAGATATCGGTGACAAAGCGGATTTCTATTCCTGATTTTCTAATGTAATGGTTTGTGGTCTATCATACAGTTAATGGGAATGAAAAGGAGAGGTAAAAGATTGAAGATTCAAAAATTGATCTTCACTTGCACGGGCTGGACGAAAATAAACCCTCAATCGCAAATAATTAGAGAGCGTTTTTAAATATTGTTCCAAAGCTAAAAGGAAAGTGTAAGTACAAATGTACCTCTAAAATGGCCACGATGCAGCGTCTAGGCAACATTTGAGGATTTCAAAAGCAAACGCCGAACTCCAAAACTTCTTTGAATGCTGCTGTCCTAAAAATTAGATTGTCTGTATGGTGGCACACCCCTATTATTATCTGTTACATTCGTATTTTTTTATTTTAATTTGTAAAAGAAAAAGAAACCAAATCAAATTTTCGTATTTAAGTCACGGTACTCTTTAATTGGATAAACAAAACCAAATTTATGGCGTTTACCTGTGGATTTAGAAGTAAGTGTAGTTTTACAATTTATTGTTTTTATTCACTTGTTTTTAATAAAAATTTCCATGTCGAAGAAGTGTGCATACATTATTTTCCTACAGATGTGAAAAATCAAGAGATTTATTTTAAAGACATTTTACTTGTTCAGGTTAACTGTGACACCTGAGTTCAGGCCTTGTCTCAATTCATTAGTCCAAAGTAAAAGGAAAAAATTAAAAACCACCCGTATTCCGCTGCCTTTGTTTCTCCACTGCTCCTTTCCGACTTCTCTCCTTTGTACATACCTAGTACAGATCTTCTTCGCTGGATCAACGGTAAGCCCATAAAAACCCCTGCAAGTATGCAGCCACACAAGCTCTACCGAACGGGGGTAGCATACTCGGCTAAAAGCAGGATTTTCATAAGGCAGCAGACAACGTATCCATTTTCAGTTGATGTCAGTTATATTGGTAAGCCCAGTGCTGACTGAAACCTTATTTTGTTAAACGTCAAATTAGAATTCGAGTATTTGTACTAGAATTATTGATAAATTCATTTCTGTAAAATCTAGTGTTTTGCAAATCAGTGATTACATAATTAAATAATGGTGGGATTAATTCATAAAAATCCAGAGGTTAACAAAGTTACTGTATTTAATAAAGGAACTTACAACCAAACGAAATTATGTTAAACAGAATATGAGGATTCATAGACCATGGAAATAAATCCAGGCTTAAAATGAGTGTCTAATTTCAATCTTAAAATACGGGGTTTGGTAGTTTCACCGTCGTACTGCCGCTTCCGTGCAATTTGCGCAAATATTAATCTAAAGTTTAGCTTTATTTCATTGGCATTTTTTGGGGGTAAAGTTTCACTGATTACGGGCAAGAATCAGCCAAATTTTGTATGGAAATTGCACCCTCGTCCTTTTTAGAAAATTTAAAGTTTTCCGGTCTTTACAACCTTGAAATAGAGATGCATGTCCTCGTCTAGAAAGCGCCGATTTCATGTGAACGATTGACGAATGGTGTCACACGCCTACTCTGCCGTGCTAAGAAAAACGCCGTATGAGCTATTAGACGTTGCCGGATTTCCTTCACTAAAACCGACTTTACTAGGAAAATTTTGAATATTTTTCTCTGAATTTCTTAGACGATTTTGTTCGCAATTTTACATTAAACATCTGAAAATTTCAAGGGATAATATAAATAAATCTCCACAAAAATACATGTTTTACCTGGGGAAATTTGGCAGAAAATAAAGTATGGCAGAAGTCTGCAACGCTGCAAACCGAAATACGCATTTCTGCAGTTTCATCGATATTTGGTGCTTTTTGTTCATACAGCGTTCTTCCGTGACACGGCGGTTGATCAATATTTTTGGAGACTTAAACGCCAGAATAGGAAAAGTGGTCGCTCACTGTAGCGTGGGGATTCCCTCCATTGCGCGGGACCTCAATTTTGAGATCTTTTTTTTAACTTGGAGGTTTAATTCAGAGGAAATCAGTGGCATCATCGCGTTTCTTCGAAACTTTCATGTTTCAGAAAAAGTGCTGAACTCGCAAATCCCTGACGGGTGTACAAGATTCAGTAGAGAGTAGAGCGCATTCAGCGATAACCTGCCACTTTCCAACCAGTTCGCCTTCAAAGCGTGAGCAGGCAATTTACGCGGCTTCGGAGCAGTATAATATTTCCTCACCATGGTTTAACCACGTTCAAAACATCCATCAACGGTGAGACTCCCAAACCCTCGTATCTAGATTTGCGATGCTGCGGACTTCCTGTCATACTTTATTTTCTAAATGGGAAAATACTCGACGTCAATTCTCTGAAATTTGCTCTGTGCGAAGAAAATTCTGTGAAAACTTCGAGGAATAATGTTTTATCTGTTCTCGTTCAAAATATAAAGTGGGAGAGGACAGTTCCAAAACAAACGCAATTCGATCAATGAAAAAAAAAAGGTGTACTTCATGTATTTCAACCTATGCAACTCAATATCTTTAGAGACAAAAAAGGTTCCGATTAATTATTTTTTGCGTTTTTTTAGAATTTGTTTCTTGATATAGTCATTTCCCTCACCCCCCTCCTTCCTCTCGCCCAAAAAACAACATAACCACGTATTATGCAAAAATAATAATTTTCGAATAGATGTAGCAGAATCAGTGGCGTGGCGCGAAGGATATCGATTGTCGATATTTCTCCATTGAAGCTGTAGTAAAGAATTGATGATAAAGGTGTTCGCTACGAACACCTTGATAATCGACCCTTTCCATGGAGTTAAATGACAGACCAATTGATATATCGCAAAGCACGCCACGCCACTGAGCAGAATCCTAGAAATAGAAAGTGGAGCCAACTAATATTCCTATTTTTGTAAGAACATCATGAGATCGTTAGCGAATATTAAAAAATGATCTCCACTCAGTTCAGTTTATGAGCTTTTAATTTTCTCATTTGACAATATCGGTATACTAGAAGTTGTATACTTAAGTATTTTCCAGAAGAAGTAGAATATTACAGCGCCAATGCTTAGGATAACTGATATAATGTCGAGGCAAAAGTATCTAAAATAAGAAGTATCAGCTATATACGGCCTTAAATGAGCGGCTCCACCGTGTTTTGCCACGTGTTCAACCCAAAAAACAGCTTCGTCTGGAGCTCGTCTTGTGAAATCATGCGATAGATCAGATAATTTCTTCATATTTTCAGCATACCTGTAAAGAAAAAATTAATATGAATTTTTGTGGTTTACAATAGTGTCACGAATATTTGCATAGACTTGAATAGAGAATTTGCAGGTGTTTTAAATTCTGTGAATTTCATGTTTAAAATGATACTACTTGCAAAACTGGGTACAAGGATATCCTAGGTTTCTAAATTGAACAAGTATTGAAGAAAATATGACAAAATACTCTACTGCTAAAATATATGTGTTAAAATGGAAAATACCGCCAGATGACTTCATAAGGCGGCACATTTTCTCATTTTGAAATATATTTTTCTCCAATTTCCCATGTCAGAAAAAATGATGAAAAATGCAGCGAGCTCAGCTCATTATAAGCATTCTCAGATGAAGCGATAACATTTCCGTGTGCAAATTCTCCAAGAAGTAGATTTTACAAACTAGGTTAAAGGTTCAAATCCAACTTTGTTATGAGTGCATATGTTTTTTGAAAGTCAGTCCAATTTCCTCAGAAGCCAAAATATGTTTGCAGAAGAACGTGAGTCAAAACTATATGGCAATTCTGCCATGCTAATTGGGAAAAAGCCGTATGACCCCTCGAGGGTTGCCAAATTTCCTTTGACGAAACACAAATTTCCAGAGAGACTTATTACTGTATTTTTTATTTCAATTTTTCAGAGTTATGTATTCACAATTGAGTACGCGTGCATCGCTTAACTTTCAAGACAAAATAGCGAGCCCCGCGTACATCTTGTTGCTATCGCACAAAAGAAAATATTCCATATCCATACATGAAAAATCACATCTACCTGAGATGAAAACCGATTTTACTGCAATAAGAAGATAGTTGCGTACTACATACTAACCTTTTATCGAACAAAACAGCTTCGATAGCTTGTTTGACTTTCACAAAAGAATCCAACTCTTGAGGTCGGAGCCGAACTCCAATTCCTGCGTCCACCATCTTTGCAACGTTCACCTCTTGGTCTCCAAACCAAGGGACGCCTACCAATGGTACTCCGTAGTGAACTGTTTCTTGGAAGCTTTGACATCCTCCTTGTGTGATGAACAATTTTACCTTCGGATGCGCTGGAAAAGAGGTTCAGTAATGTTGGCTCTCATTTAAAAATTGTCGGCTAGCTATGTGCCCTGAAGTTATAAATGACAGCATTCAAATTAAACGTAACCCAGCGCAATTTAGTGATTTTCGGTTCCTTCCTTTCTTTTGACTATAGTGATAAAAATGGCTTGAAAGTATTTTCTTCTACAAAAAAAATAAGTATTATTATCCGTTTGAAATTATTTCATAATGCAGGAATTAAACTCCTTTTCCATTTGAAACACTGTACGCACGAAAGACTGAAATAAAGGAATTTTCAGTTCATCAAATTATTCGAGCTTTTCATTTTACAAAAATGTAGAAAAGTGAGCCTTTGACTGTGTTCCAATGAAAGGAGCAAATGTGTTCATGTTGCTATTAAGCTAAGTAAAGCATGAATATGAGTACTAACTGCACAGGAAAAATAACCTCGGCGCTGAGTCCTACATTGCAGGTCTCATTATCAGCGCTGAGGTTGTTTTTCAGTGTGTGTCTATCATAAAAGCCACAAAATACATACCTAAAACTTCTTGCTGTGGTATCCACTTTTGAGTAAGGATATTAGTTACTTTTGATTTTCCGACCCCCTCCTCATTTTTTGAAATTTCGGCATCGTCCTCCCATTTCCACAGCACTCGGTAACCTTCCGGCAGCTCTCTGAAAACCCTCAAGAAGTTCGACAGTGCATCTCGCGGTAGGTTTGCACTTCGCATATTACTGCCGAGACTGAAATAAATTACTCCTCGTTCTGCCCCGTCTAGCCAATCTTGCAATGTCTGCAAACATCACAATCACGAAGCTTAAAATTGATTGAAATCGTTTAAGAAGAAAAGTGGTGAGCCAGACCAGACTCTCGAACAAATGCATCGTTCAAACTGCATAACCTCACTCAATGAAGAATCCGCTTACAAATTTTCTATTGCCTAATCTGCGAGTGCTTAAAGAGTCGCTTTTTCAGTATTTTTTATAATTTTTTTCTGATCTAAGAAATAGTTTAAAAATTTAAAAATAGATTTAAAAGTGAGGAAATACACCTACTAGTGACGTCATCTGGCGGTTTTCCCATTTAAACACATGCATTTTAACAAATTAGATCATTTTGCTATAATTTCTCTAATAAGTGTTAAATTTAAACAAAGGGTATCCTCCAGTTCAGTTCACTCTGTGGTCTCCACTTGAGCACAAACTGAATTAAATTTCAAACACCTGTAAATTTTCTATTTATTAGTTAACATTTTCTAGTCATTGCAAACTACGTACAATTTGAGGGAATGAAGAACGAATTCCTATATTTTTTGCTGGACTTCGAATCATCTATTTGTTGCCAAAATATTACCATTGTTAATAGTAAGCTATCAAAAAGAGCTTCACCTCAACTAGTTTGTTAATTATTTAATTATTTTATTTACCAGAAGTACAAAGATACTATAGTCATATAGGTATACCTTCGGTAATTTTGTCGAATTTTTTATATGAAGCGGCCCAACCTCGATAACATTGGGAGTGATAGGCCTTGGATAGTAATACAGGGCGTTTGAGGTTATCATGGCGAGACTAATGTTTCCCCAGCACCCTTCGACGAAAGCCTCTCCGTCTGGACCATAAGTATCTCGAAAATGGGCTTTGGCGGAGTTCTCAACAACATTCTGCAGTTTCGATGATATGTAATGATGTGTAACCCAATTTTCCAAACGCTCCCACAAACTCATTTTACCGTTGAAGGCGCTTAGCATTGCTGGAGAATATGATAAATGTTTTATGTTCCCGATGGCATCCTCGTTGAAAAATTCGCCTCCAGTCATGGTGGCCAGGGAGATCACAGGTTTGTTTTTTGTCAAGAGACGGACCAGGCCTACCCCGTACGGAATGACGAAAGATTCAACGATCACAACGTCGAATGATATCTTCTCATCTTGGACGCGTCTGTAAAAAATCGAAATATTGATAATTTTGTTAAAATAAATTTAAATCAGAATTGAATACATTGCTTCAAAAAAAAACGTATTCATCACTGAAAAAATTAAAGTATTGTTTCATTGCAACAAAATAGATTTTTAGGACCACGCGCACCTTTAGGTTTTTTGTGTGAGTGCTCCACTCCAAGGTCTAGAAAAGTTCATGTTGCGAAAGTAAACGATTTTTTAATAATGTTTCTATTAGACTGGCTGGATGCAAACTAATTTGGCCATTGTCAATGTATACAAAGTGACAAGATGTATCAACTCACTTAAGAAACTGCTTGAAAGTGTCACTTTCAAACATGTGCCGCACCATCCCTGCCCACACTTCCAAAAATGGTATCCACGTAAGTTGGTTTGAAAATTGTTGCTGTAAATGAACGCCTTTTTCTGTAAGGCTCTCGTGAAAATACTGGTACAGCCATGAAAAATCGAAGTGAGTGTAATTCTTCTGCAGTCCCTGTACAAAAACAATTGAATAGTATGCGCCGATAGGTAACATTAAAAATTACATTCCTGCATGATCTAAATCCGATAGTTGACCCCTAACAAGTCATAACGTGTTCTAAAGGCTGTTCTTTAATTCTCAGTCCGTGATTTCAATGATGAACTCGCTTGTGTTACATTTTCATTTAGATATAAAACAGAATTGCAGATGTGTAAGTGAGCACATTCAGAGGCTCTATAACATTTTTAAATCGGCAGGTTGAATTCCAGCGAGGGATAGACAATTGCAATTTGACCAACTCATTTCCCGAAATTTTTTTTTTCAAAGAACATGATAGTCTCATCAACAAATAAAGCGAAAATTGCCTGTTGGAGGCTGCACGTCGAATTTTAGAATTTATAAAAGAAAAATTTAATTTGAGCCTCACTAGTTGTCTCGAAAACCTATTCTTTGGAAGCTATTAAAATTGAGGCTGTAATGACGATTTATAATTAAAACATAGGATAGCCTATCACTGTAAATGACAAATAGTTAATGCAAAACGATCATTCTTTGTCCATGATTATGGTAAAAAAGCTTACGTATTCAATTCTATCTAAGTTAAGGAGATTTGAGCCTCCTTCGGATTCCCCATGAAGTGAGGTTTGACATATTTTGACAGCCCTCCCTCCTCACCCCAATGGGTACACTTTATATTGAACAGACGAAAATCAACAAGCATTTTACCGGCACTGAATCTGGGCTCAAGAAAAAAACGTCGTGACCTTTATTCACCAGAGCCTCTGTCAAACCAATCGCAGGGAGTTGATGACTATATGATGGAGTCGGTTGCAGTATCAATACTCTATGAGAAAAAACAGTTGTGCTGAAACTTGTAAAAACTATTGCTAATAAATTTGCTGTTTTCATTCTTCACTTTTATGGTCAAATCGAAACCTGAAAGTGAGATAAAAGACGTGTTTTTAGTATATTGCAGTCCATACTCTTGTAATCAATGGTGGGCGAATTAACATCGTCAAAATGATTCGTTGATTCAGGCAAAATGAGATTATTTATTTTCACGTTAATGTGTGTGGTGAACCTCCAGAAAATAAACAAATTCCGCCTTTATTATTGCTAAACCCTTTAGAGAAAATAATATACTGGTATTTTTATTACTGACCTAACTGAGCGAATGATATTTGATCTCAGTATTCCCTCCTGAAAAGATTTTTTTTTTTTTTTTTTTTTTTTTTTTTTTTTTTTTTTTGCAAGAGCATTATAGCCCTTACTACTTTGAACTTCTGAACTTCTTTGTCTTTACATTTGAGAACATGAATTCTCTATATTTTCTTGCTGCGTCAAAGTATTTCAACGACGGTTTTTCTTACTTAGTGAGTGATTTTCTCCTGCTAAAATATTCTCTAAGTTTCATTCATGAACAAAATGTCCAAAAGTATTAATGCATAAATTTAGGGATGTATAAAGTTCTCATTCATTCGCGACGCACAATAATTGGGAACCAATAGGTGACTTGAAAAAAAACCCTTAAATGTGTGAAAATACTCACATTTACTCGTTACAAACCCTGTAATAAGGTTTTTTTAATTTTACTTGAAATTCGAGTATACAAATACCTGGGAGAAGACCGTCAGACCGTCAAAAACTAACTGCTTTGTCCGTAATAACACAAATTTTCAGTTGAGGGTCATGAGAAACAAAATATAAAAGGTAAACACAAAATGAACAAATCTAATGAGTGTTCTAGGATTATAGACAGCGTTTTATAAGTTCTATCACACAGAGCGCTATTACGTCCTGTCTAGAAATCTGCAGGAATGCACTGATCTATCAATACTGAAAAAAATTGGGTCTGAAAGTGTAAGCAAACGATGACGTAAAATTCGCGTGCCAAATGAGATATTTCTATCTTTTGTCGGAAGTGGAGAGTTTGATTGAAGAGTGCACTAGGCGCACTTAAACTGTCAATTATCTTATTCCGAAACATCGTAAAACACTTACAACTGTTCCAGTGTAAAGATACTTGATGACATCACCTTGGACTTGGCCTGCTACACACTGCGTATGCGGGTAAGATCAATTAGCTTTCAGTGGCGAGGTGTGAATGATCGATTATCGATAGTTCCCCATTAGAAGCTACGGTAAAGAATCGATTATCAAGGTGCTCGTTACGAACATTCTGTTTAGCGATTATTTTTCATAGGTCCAAAGGGCAGATCAATCGATACATCGCAAAGCACGCCACGCCACTGGGCCAATGGCGTGGCGTGCTTTGCGGTATATTGATCGAACTACCATTTACACCTATGGAAAAGGACCGATAAACAGGGTGTTCGCAGCGAACACCTTAGTAATCGATTCTTTACCATATCTTCAAATGGAAAAATATCGAAAATCGATCATTCTGAGTTGTGCAGGAGAGGCGTGTAAAATTCTTGGGACACTTCATTGGTCAGTTCCACGAATTCATTGCGGAATTTTTTGGAAATTGAATAGGCTCTTATTTCGAATTTAACCCACTTCAGTTCTTCCAGAGATTGGAGAACAACGTTAATGTAAATATGTAACAATATTCCAACACTTGACTCGAGAAAGAAATACTGCGATAACTAACTCGCAACGCAATACAAACCAGAAGACAAAGAACTGCCCTTTTGAAATCGTGGTTTCACTGCATGTAAAATGGAATCTTCACAATCACAATAATTCCTGAATGATCTCATCAAAATATTATTAATTAAATACCTTTTGCCCTTAAGCGGTATGAATCTAGTTTTTCGTCACCACATAATAAACTGCAGCATCTTTAGCCCATGGATGTAAATTAAAAATAAAGAAAATTAAAAAAAAAATTAAAAAAAAAAAACTGAGGGATGTTTTCACCACTCCCATTTGTCTCCGTATCTCTTGAGACGTTTATGTATTTTTTCTTCTTTTTTTTTGTGAGCATCACTCTTTATGGTGAGAATTTTCATTAAATGGAAATTGTCATTAAATGAAATATAAAATAGATGCTAATAATGCAACTCTAGAAAATATTAATGAATTATGAGCTTTTAATCTTTTTACTTGAGCTAGAGAACATATTTGAGTAGGTAAGGATTTTACAGAGGATATAAAATATTATTGTAGTAATGATCAAAATAATCGATATGATATCGAGGCAGAAGTATGTGAAGTAAGAAGTATTGGCGGTATGAGGTCTCAAATGATCTGCTCCTCCATGTTTGGCCACATGCTCCACCCAGAAAACAGCTTGATCCTTCGCTCGACTTGTGAAATCGTGCGATATGCTAGACATTTTTTTCATGTTTTCGTCATATCTGTAGGATATAGAAAAAATTAATCTAAATCAGAGATGTTCTTCATATAAAGTTGATGTTGCACGTGTAAAGGTTAGCGAAGGTAAATACCCTCATGTACACTAAAATTTTTTTTTCGAGCCTTGTGATGATTATGCACCTAAATACTGCAGCAACTATTTTACTTCCAATCATTGCACAGATGTTCAGTGGTATCCAATATATTTTTGGCAGAAGTTGAAGTCAAATGTGTATTTTACGAAAAATTAGTCCTTGTGACTCTCAAATTGTACATCAAGCATAAGCATATAAACATTACCAATACAGTACATCGAGAGGAACGATGATATAAATTAGCCACACTCAAAATGCGTGAAGAGGCAGTTGCAAGCCAACATTTTTAATGCAGACGAATTTTAGTTTTTATTTCGAATCTATTACTTTCATGTGACTTTTGCATCGATGAATAATTTCATTCTCTTCGAACTTCAAGGAAAACTGAATTGAAACACAAAAACTTTCCTTCAAACCAAATATTTTCTCCCAAATCTCAAAGAATATATATCAATAATTTATTTTGTATCATCAAATAGACACGCACTTACTTTTTATCGAACAAAACAGCATTGATCGCCGTTTTAACTTTTTCGTATGAATTCAGCTCAGAGGGTCGAAGACGAAAGCCAACTTCTGCGTCAACCATCTTTGCTACGTTCACCTCTTGGTCAGCAAACCAGGGTACTCCTACCGTTGGAACTCCATAGTGAACTGTTTCTTGGAAGCTTTGACACCCTCCTTGTGTGATGAACAATTTTACCATCGGATGCGCTGCAAAGGTAATCCCAGTATTTTCAACATTATCACCATGGGTTCTAATTTAGAGCATGACAGTTTTCTTAATATAAAGCTCCATTACAAAGGGACATTTTATACGTCCCTTGAGTATTCTATGGCACAATTGTTTTCAGTTTCTCTTCGGTCTCCCCAAGAGCATTCCAATGTCGCTAACCTTGCAAACATGAACGAGTTTCGCATATCTTCCGTTTCTCCTCATCGCAGCTTCCATCAAACCGCAATTGCCCGGAAACTAGGACCGCACATCTTATCTGATAAAATCGTTCGCCCTTTAGACCGATTCTGGGGGGTTAGGCTGGACTAGTCGATGAGTCAACTGTTGATCTAATTTCATTACATGAACGTAGAAGAAAAACGGGGTAAAAAATCACTAATGTGTGATCGATTTTCAAGGACGATTCTGTAATTTCTCCCACGATTTTAAATAGATTAAAACGCGTAATATCCAAAATCTAAGCTCAGATTCGGATTTCTCGTGAAAAACTGATGCGATTTCATGCATCAAATTTTAGAATAGCGTGAAGGAAAGAGGTTTAATGACGTAAAAAACACTAATGTGTGATCAATTTTCAAGGACAATTCTGTAATTTCTCCTGCGATTTTAAATAGATTAAAACGCGTAATATCCGAAATCTAAGCTCAGATTCGGATTCCTCGTGAAAAACTAATGTGATTTCATGCATCAAATTTTAGAATAGCGTGAAGGAAAGAGGTTTAATGACGTAAAAAAACACTAATGTGTGATCAATTTTCAAGGACAATTCTGTAAATTCTCATACGATTTTAAATAGATTAAAACGCGTAATATCCAAAATCTAAACTCAGATTCGGATTCCTCGTGAAAAACTGATGAGATTTCATAAATCATATGTTAAAATAGCGTGAAGGACAAAGGTTTAACGACGCGTATAGATTCTGTCATACTTCCCCTTTGAATTACGCCGCCGGCGCCGGCCGGCGCTTAAAGCGTTCGGTTTCGTCCCGAGGAATTCCTCACGATAAATTCTTATTCTTCCTCCTCCGCTGACCCACTGAGCACTACCCATGTTGCCACGTTGGATTCATATGCTCGAATCAGTATGTCTACGGTACGTCTCTTTCCTTCACGCTATGCTCGGCCATGATACATGAAATTGTATCAATTTTTAACGAGGAATTCGAATCTGAACTTCGATTTTGGGTATCACGCGTTTTACGTCAAATTTTCCAAATTCGAAAATAAATCTGAAATGACTGACGAGGCTTAAAATGGCATCTCGGCTCCTGTTCGATGGATTTTCCTGAAATTCGGTGTCAGGGTATGATACATGAAATCTCATCGATTTTTCACGAGGATTTATGGCGCCCCCTTACTACATGCCTACTCTTGTATTTCTGTACAGCCGCAAATTTAGGGTCAAGGGGCGCCTGACCGTCTATGGACCAGGCGGAGTTTTTGTCCTGAAAATTTACCTTTAGACGGCAATTCTCTTTATATTTTGTCTATGGTATTTATGCCCCCCCCCGGCCCCGCCCCCCTTTCTCGCGGACTCTCTTTTCACTTTTCTTGCCTCCTCTTTCCTTCCATTTCCCCCCTTCTTCCTTGCTTTCACTGCCCAACCTTGTTTCCTTTTCATTTTTTCCCCTTGTCCTTTCTTCCCTTTTGTTCCCTCTCTTCTTCTTTCGTGGCGCCCCCCAAAGGCTGGCGCCCGTGTGCGCCGCACGCCCTGCACACGCCCTAAGTCCGGGCCTGGGTCTCCGTCTTGTGATGCTTCCAAAACAACCTATCAATGAAAGCCTGGATTTTCTGTGTAAATTAATCAAAATCTCTTCCTCTTAATTGTGCCGGTTTTTAGACGAAATATAGCCCACAAATGTACGCAGCTTTCTATCGTAGCGTAAAGCTGAAATTCAGCCGCACCTTTCCGCTCTCTTAAACCACCGTAACGTGGATTTGGACCACCAGCTCCCCAACGTTACATAATACTTCAACTCCTGCCATTTTAAGTGATTAAGAGGTACATTTTATGTGATGCCCAAAGAAAATAATCTGTATTTAAGTTATGCCCTAAAGTTTGATGAATCTATTTTGGGATAATTTTAGTCATCAGGAAGCTTTCTGTTTCGAAAAAGGCCAAGAACTTTACAAATATTGGGAAATTCACATTAATGAAAACGTTCAAAAAGAGCTATGCAGACGTAGGTAGACTCTCGAAGTTCATAAGGATTGGAGAGTTCTTAAAAGTTTGTTGAAAGGGGAGGACATTTTGTAGTCTCCCAGATGGAAAAAAGCCAACTATATTTCAACCTTGTAAAATTTCCGATCGAAAGTTGTATTTTTACTCGGCATCTGTTGTGCCTTGTGCCTTCTTTCATGAAAGGTATTTTGAAATGGAGCTCCGTTTTTTGTAGGGAACGACTAATGACTGGTAAGTACAGCAATCGAAGCAAGATGTGTTGTTTCTCAATAAACTATCAAAATATACATACCCAAGACGCTTTGCTGCGGTATCCATCTTTGAGTAAGTATATTTCTTTTATTTGACAGTCCAGTCACCCGGTCACTTGGAACCTCGTTATCACTTTCCCATTTCCACAGCACCCGATACCCATCTGGCAGTTCTCCGAAAACCCTCAAGAGGTTCGCCAACGCCTCTTGAGGTAATTTCTCACTTCGCATGTTGCTGCCAAGACTGAAGTAAATAACGCCACGACCAGCTCCATCCAGCCAATCTTGTAGTATCTACAACCATCAAGCATTGTTTTTTTTTTTTTTTTTTTAATGAACGAAATTAATATATCCAATCAAATTTTAGAAAAATTACAATATTTGGATGACAGCACGTCTACTAGGATCCAAGTTAAGTGTGGAAGAAGAGATTTGTTCATTTAGAAGTCTCGTTCATTGCTCAACTTAGATACAGGGTAAAGTTAAAATTTCTCACAGAAAAAAAAGGAAGATCTTCAAAAACGCTAGGACTAGAAAGTCATCACCAAGCGTAAACTTTTCAATGTTAAAAATTTTCTGATTGCGTCAATTTTTAAGAGTACCAATTCGCCGAAATATGGGCTTGAATTAATGCGAAAAAAACTCTCAATCTTCAAGCTAAATTCCTTAAAAAGCATCAGTTACAGCAATCCAAGACCAGGCCTCTTGGAAGATCATCAAAACGTAAAGGCTGTTGTAATCATAGGCAGAAAAAGTGCCTTTCGAGACCCAGGTGCCTCCAAAAAGAATTCGTCAGTACAACGAAGGTGCTAGGGTTTTTCTTAGCACGGCGGGATGATACAAATTACAATCATACTTTACCTTCGGTAATTTTTCTGGCGTTTTGATGTGGAGAGGTCCGACTTCGATGACATTGGGAGTGATGGGCCTCGGGTAATAGTAAAGAGCGTTGGAGGAAATCATGGCTAGACTGATATTCTCCCAGCACCCATCAACAAGAGCCTCCCCATCCGGGCCATACGTGTCTCTGAAATGGGCTCTAGCTGAACTTTCAAAAATGTTTTGCAACCTCGATGAAACATAGTGATGCGTAACCCAATTCTCTAAACGTTCCCACAGGCTCATCTGTCCAGTGTAGGGACTCAGCATTGAGGGGGAATATGACAAATGTTTTATGTTCCCGATTGCATCTTCGTTGTAAAAATCTCCGCCAGTCATGGTCAGTAGGGAAATTACGGGTTTGTTCCTGGTTAGGAGACGAGCCAGTGCTACCCCGTACGGAATGACATAAGATTCTACGGTCACAACGTCAAATGATATCTTCTCATCTTCTACACGTCTGAAAAAAAATAATTAAAAGAGTTCAGTTTTATTGCAAGCTTTTTAATTTCAATTTACAGTTTACTTTAGGGGGTCCCCTGCTCTCACTGGAGTGCCGAGGAGCATCTTGAATTAAAAGGAATATTTAGAACTCTCTCACCTGAGGAAATGCTTGAAGGTGTCACTTTCAAACATTTGCCGCATCATGTCTGCGTACACTCTAAAAAATGGAATCCACATAAATTGGCTAGAGAATTCTTGCTGTAAATTAACACCCTCTGTTGTAAAGTTAGCGTTAAACTCGTACAACCATGAAAAATCAAAGTAGGTGTAATTTCCTTCCAGTCCCTGAAAAAAGTCAAAAAGGAATATTTGTTTGTGATTTTAAGATTCAAGAAATTACATTTTTTAGGCCACTGCTTGCAGATGCCGAAATGGGAAGTATACAACTTTGTCCATTTATCATCAACTTTCCATTATGTTATATATATATTCCATTATGTATATATGGTTACTCAAAAATGAAAATCAGGTAACTTGATTTCATTGACTGAAAAATAAAAAACTTACCGGCACTTTATTAGGTCCCAAAACAAAAACGTCGTGGCCTTTTTTAACCAGCGCCTCCGTCAAACCCATCGCTGGCTGCTGATGACTATACGCTGGCGTCGGATGAAAAATCAATATTCTATGAGCAAAAATTGTCGTGCTGATATTTGCTAGTATGAAAATAGTAAATATGCATGCCATTTTTATTTCATACATTTTTGGCTAGAGTTGAAACTACCTGCAACGTAATTTACAATTTTAAAAAAAAAAATGTTAATAAGCGGCTTATTATATATATAATAAATTTTCATCAATTTTTCAAATAATTTGTAAACATTGCATACCTATCTTTTAAAATACACATGAATACAAGTCGCTTTTATAGTGCCCCCGGGCACTTTGCAACACCTAATTGCCATTCTTGTCTATCGAACCTTGAATATGACCCTCTCTTAAAATATGTGCCTAAAAATTGCCGACATCAATCAGAATCTCAATTTTTTTCCGCTTTCACGCAATTTTTTGTGATTACTGAAAACAAAACTTAAAAGGTATGCGCGAGAAGAAGTAATCACTACAAACCTGTCTATCTCTGCAAATAATAATCCGATAATGTCTTGTCCGACTTCTACGAATGGATATTCTGTGGATCTCCTTGAAAGGAACACCACAAATCCTAATATACAAGTGTTTTACTTTTCATTTCTGCATAAGGATAATTAATGCTGTGTGCAAAGAATTCTCAAGGATGCACCGTACTTCCAACACCGGATTAATTTTGAACTTTCAAAATTATGAGAAAACTGTCACTATAATTCTGTTCAATCCTGCGAATATGAAATGTGTTATTTCCGTCCGCTGACGAGTGCACTTGTAATTATCTTGAATGGGATTTGGTTATCTTCTTTTCCCTAAACAATGAAAGACGCTTTCGATTGTTTCATTGTAATGATCGAAAAAAAAAGAAAGATAGAAAGGGACGGGCGCAATAAAAAATAGACACAAGGAATGTTTGTCAATTTGTTGGCTGTAAATCGATAAAGTTTATCTTGTCCTCTGTGCAAAGATCAACCAGTAAAAACTCCTGCAAGTAGGCAACCATTCAAACATGACTGAGATGGTGGACTATACCTGGTGAATTGCAGGATTTTTAACGGCGGCAAAGATTGTACGAGCCATGCGTCGATGTGAAAAACATTAGTATTACTAAGATTAACTAATTAAAGACAAATTTTTGTGCATGTATTTTACATCAGAGTCAGTAAATTCAAACTTTTCCTTTACACAAAACCTGAATCAACAATAACCTCAGTCAAATAAGGATCAAAACTAATTTACATCATTTGACCGGTAACTTATGTTAGATTCCATAAAAATGTGCCATAGTTTGATGGACAATATTAGTGTATTTGTCGAGAAAAAGGCGGTACTCTGAGAGAATTCTTCTATCATAATGACATTGACATTATTTTAGGTGCCAATTTGATAATGCTTCGGTTTTTTTTACAAGGAGGCGACTGTTTGAATTGACGAATACAGAAAATTCTCATTGCTAATTTATGGATTGAATTTTCACTTCTTGTTTGTATTCAGCACATACATATCGACGGTGAAACTACCAAACCACGTATCTCGTTTGCGGTGTTTAAAAATCTACGCTCGCATTTTATTTTTTTGAGGTAGACCAAATCAATATCATTCCTTGAAATTTTCNCCCCCCTTTCTCGCGGACTCTCTTTTCACTTTTCTTGCCTCCTTTTTCCTTCCATTTCCCCCCTTCTTCCTTGCTTTCACTGCCCAACCTTGTTTCCTTTTCATTTTTTCCCCTTGTCCTTTCTTCCCTTTTTTTCCCTCTCTTCTTCTTTCGTGGCGCCCCCCAAAGGCTGGCGCCCGTGTGCGCCGCACGCACTGCACACGCCCTAGGTCCGGGCCTGGATCTCCGTCTTGTAATGCTTCCAAAACAACCTATCAATGAAAGCCTGGATTTTCTGTGTAAATTAAACAAAATCTCTTCCTCTTAATTGTGCCGGTTTTCAGACGAAATATAGCCCACAAATGTACGCAGCTTTCTATCGTAGCGTAAAGCTGAAATTTAGCCACCTCTCTTAAACCACCGTAACGTGGATTTGGACCGCCAGCTCCCGAACGTTACATAATACTTCAACTCTTGCATTTTAAGTGATTAAGAGGTACATTTTAAGTGATGCCCAAAGAAAATAATCTGTATTTAAGTCATGCCCTAAAGTTTGATGAATCTCTTTTGGGATAATTTTAGTCATCAGGAAGCTTTCTGTTTTGGAAAGGGCCCAGAACTTTACAAGTATTGGGAAATTCGCATTAATGAAAACTTTCAAAAAGAGCTATGCAGACGTAGGTAGACTCTCGAAGTTCATAAGAATTGGAGAGTTCTTAAAAGTTTGTTGAAAGGGGAGGACTTTTTGTAGTCTCCCAGATGGAAAAAAGCCAATTATATTTCAACCTTGTAAAATTTCCGATCGAAAGTTGTAATTTTACTCGGCATCTGTTGTGCCTTGTGCCTTCTTTCATGAAAGGGATCTTGAAATAGAGCTCCATTTTTTTTGTAGGGAACGACTAATGACTGGTAAGTACAGCAATCGAAGTAGGATGTGTTGTTTCTCAATAAAACTATCAAAATATACATACCCAAGACGCTTTGCTGCGGTATCCATCTTTGAGTAAGTATATTTCTTTTATTTGACAGTCCAGTCACCCGGTCACTTGGAACCTCGCTATCACTTTCCCATTTCCACAGCACCCGATAACCATCTGGCAGCTCTCCGAAAACCCTCAAGAGATTCGCCAACGCCTCTCGGGGTAATTTTTCACTTCGCATGTTACTGCCAAGACTAAAGTAAATAACGCCATGACTAGCTCCATCCAGCCAATCTTGCAGTATCTGCAACCATCACCCAATTTTTTTTATTTTTTGTTTTTTTAATTGACGAAATGGATAAACCCAATCAAATTTTAGAAAATTCACAATATTTGGATAGCAGCACATAAAATGGAATCCGAGTCAATCGTGGAGGAAGAGATTTGTTCATTTCGAAGTTTCGTTCATTGCTTAAACTTGGATACACGGAGAAAGCGAAATTCTCTTACAGAGAAAAAGCAAGATCTTCGGAAAAGCTAAGACTGCTGAAAGCCATCACTAATCCTAAACTTTTCAATGTTTAAAATTTTCCATTAGCGTAAAATTTCTAGCGTACCAACTATCCGAAAAATGGGCTTAAATTAATACGAAATAAACTCTCGGTCCTCAAGCTAAATTCCTTAAAAAGTATTAGTTACAGAAATCCAAGACTAGGCCTCTTCTAAAATCATCAAAACGTAGGCGCAGTTGTAAAGGTGCCTTTCGAGATCCGGGCACCTGCTACCTCCAAGAAAAATTCAACAGTACAGCATAGGTACAAGGTTTTTTTTTTCTTAACAAGGCGCGGCGGCATGATACATATCACAATAATATTTTACCTTCGGTAATTTTTCTGGCGTTTTGATGTGGAGAGGTCCGACTTCGATGACATTGGGAGTGATGGGCCTCGGGTAATAGTAAAGAGCGTTGGAGGTTATCATGGCTAGACTGATATTCTCCCAGCACCCATTCACGAGAGCCTCTCCATCCGTACCATAAGTGTCTCGGAAATGGGCTCTAGCTGAACTTTCGAAAATGTTCTGCAACCTCGATGAAATGTAGTGATGCGTAACCCAATTCTCTAGACGTTCCCATAGGCTCATCTGTCCAGTGTAGGGACTCAGCATTGAGGGGGAATATGACAAATGTTTTATGCTCCCGATTGCATCCTCGTTGTAAAAATCTCCGCCAGTCATGGTCAGTAGGGAGATTACGGGTTTGTTCCTGGTTAGGAGACGAGCCAGCGCTACCCCGTACGGAATGACGTAAGATTCTACGGTTACAACGTCAAATGATATCTTCTCATCTTGTACACGTCTGAAAAAAAAATTAGATAAAAAAGTTCAGTTTTATTTCAAGCTTTTTAATATCAATTTACAGTTTATTTTAGGGGAGTCCCCTGTTCTTACTGAAGTGTCAAGGAGCAGCTTGAATAAAAAGGAATATTTAGAACTCTCTCACCTGAGAAAGTGCTTGAAGGTGTCACTTTCAAACATTTGTCGCATCATGTCTGCATACACTCTAAAAAATGGAATCCACATGAATTGGCTAGAGAATTCTTGCTGTAAATTTACACCCTCTGTTGTAAAGTTAGCGTTAAACTCGTACAACCATGAAAAATCAAAGTAGGTGTAATTTCCTTCCAGTCCCTGTAAAAATTCAAATAGGAATATTTGTTTGTGATTTTAAGATTCAAAAGATTACATTTTTTTAGGCCACTACTTGCAGACGCCAAAATGGGAAATATACCGCTTTGTCCCTTTATCACCAACTTTCCATTACGGAGATATGGAGAAAAGTTATAAATATTAAGTATTGTGGCATATTTATACAATAAAAGTTTCTCGTAAAATAGTTATATTTTTTAACCATGCTAAATTGATCTGTGAAATCTGCGTCATTATTCATGTCAACTGCTAGGGAATCAAACAAACTTGATGACTCGAGAGCGATTGCAAGCAGAAGAATAGGATACGATTATTAAGGGCAGATGGGTTTTCAGGGTTTGGTTTTGCAAGGTTGATCCTATTTTCAATTACTCTAAAATTCAGCCATTTTAATTTCAATTTATTGTTAAAGTAAACAGTATAAAACTTCACGAGCGTATTTGTTGACACGTTTAGGGCTTTTGTTCATTAGAGAAAAAAAAATAAATTACGTTTGCTCATAAATTGGACTACGTTTTGAAATTCGAGATTACAATTTCTGGCTCATGCAGTTTAAAAACAACATATACCATTAGGTTCCTTAACATTAGTGGGTTTTACGTATGAGGCAGAATTTGTATAGTTCCTAAAAGCAAAATAAAGTCCAATTTATTTTTGCTCTTCTCGAGAATTCGTCAAGTGTCAACTGTTGTAAATTTATTCATCAGTTCCCTCCCCCTTCAATCCAGTGACGTGGCGTGAGTGATCGACTATCGATATTTCCCCATTTGAAGCTACGGCAAGGAATCGACTACTAAGGTGTTTGTTGGGAACAATCAATACATCCCAAAGCACGGTACGCCACTGCTTCAATCCCAGCTCTCTTTGGCTGATCGATCCGGTACTAATTCTGTCGAATTATTATTGGTTACTCAAAAATAAAAATCAGGTAACTTGATTTCATTGACTGAAAAATAAAAAACTTACCGGCACTTTATTAGGGCCCAAAACAAAAACGTCGTGGCCTTTTTTAACCAGCGCCTCCGTCAAACCCATCGCTGGCTGCTGATGACTATACGCTGGCGTCGGATGAAAAATCAATATTCCATGAGCAAAAATTGTCGTGCTGATATTTGCTAGTATGAAAATAGTCAATATGCATGCCATTTTCATTTCATACATTTTTGGCTAGAGTTGAAACTACCTGCAACGTAATTTACAAAAAACAAGAAACAAAAAACAAAACAAAACAAAATGCAGGTAGAAAATATGAAGGTGATGAAAATACCCATTATCAGTATGACTGAGGGCTCGGTCGGAATGATCTGAATTTTCTTGGAAAAAAATCTAAATAAAAATGGAATGCTACTTCAAATGATATCTACAGTTTTGAATTGTATCTTCGTTAATAATAAATTGTTATTAATTCTTCAAATAATTTGTAAACACTGCATACCTATATCTCTTAAAATACACATGAGTAAAAGTCGCTTTTATAGTGCCCACGGGCACTTTGCACCACCTAATTGCCATTCTCGTCTATCGAACCAGTGAAAACATGACCCTCTCTTAAAATATGTGCTTAAAAATTGCCGGCATCAATCAGAAGCTCAAAATTCATTCCGCTTAGGCACATTTGTTTGTGATTACTTAAAGCAAAACATAGAAGTTACCTGAAAAGAAGGAGTAACTGCAAACCTTTCAATCTCTGCAAATAATGATCCGGTGTCGTATCCGACTTTTACGAATGGATATTTTGAGGAGCCCGTTGAGAGTAACACCACAAATTCTAATTTATATGTTTTTGTTTTTCATTTCTGCATACGGATAATTAATGCTCTGTTCAAAGAATTCTCAAGAATGCACCGTAATACCGTACTTCCAACACCAGATTAATTTTAAGCCTTCAAAATTATGAGAAAATACTGTCACTATAATTCTGTTCTATCCTGCGAATATGAAATGTGTTGTTTCCGTCCGTTGACGAGTGCTCTTGTAATTATCTTGCGTCGGATTAGGTTATCTTCATTCCCCTAAACAATGAAAGACGCTTCCGATTGTTTCATTGTAATGATAAAAAAAGAATAAGATAGAAAGGGGCGGGCGCAATAAAAAATAGACACAAGGAATGTAATTGTTTGTCAATTTGTTGGCTGTAAATCAATAAAGTGTATCTTGTCCTCTGTAGCTCTGTCCAAAGATCAACCAGTAAAAACTCCTGCTAGTAGGCAACCATTCAAACGTGACTGAGATGGTGGACCATACCTAGTGAATTGCAGGATTTTTAACGGCGGCCAAGATTGTGCGAGCCATTCGTCGATGTGAAAATCATTAGTACTACTGAGATTAACTAATTAAAGACATATTTTTGTACATGTATTTTACATCAGAGTCAGTAAATTCAAACTTTCCGATTACGATTTTTTACAAGGAGGCGGGTGTTTGAATTGCCGAACATAGAAAATTCTCATTCCTAATTTATGGATTGAAGTTTCACTAATTGTTTGTATTCAGTACGTATATGTTGCAGAAAAATCCGGGAAATTGGACAAATCTTGAAATGTCTTGTCAAATCTCGATCCGCCCAAAATCGTTAAATAAACGTTTTAACTTCACAGTTTGACTACAGGCACAGGCTCTTTGAATAGATCCAGATATGAAGAACGAAATTAAAGAAAAGAGGGAAACATTTGATTCTTACCTTCAAATATGACAGTGAAAGCTGAAAATGCTCGTCCCTATGGAGAAAATAGAAGCTGTATCCAGGCTGCTGATTCACTCAAATCTTGATATTTATATTTCTAAAATTGTATTTTATTTTTTAATGATTTTTTTTAAAATTGTATTTTATTTTATTTATCTTATTTTAACTTTTTTCAAAAAACTGTAATTTATTTTGGGTGAAATTATTATGACTTGATGAAAACTGAGACATTTTTTCTGCTATACTGTACTGCATGAATTGCAGGCCTTTACTCCAATCTGTTGAATCACTGTCGTGCATCCGCAGATAATGCATTTTTCAACATCTTGACTAGCGCATTCTGCACCACCTTGACTGTAGGAGTTTCAAGGCTCGCCGTGCACACTAGATAAACCGTCATATCACTGGTTATTAAGACGATCAATCTCGCAGTTCTTCAAGTCTCGATCGTTTTGTCGGCTTGAAGGGAGGCGAGTAATCCAGATAAACAAAATATATCCTGAAACTCGTTAACGATGAGTGTTTCACATTTGCAGAAAGTCCAGCCACTTGTGTGGTTTGATTTGAATTGTGTGCAACTTTTTCTGGAGGTTATAATTTTTTTCTTTTAAATTTTAATTTTAAATTTCCTCAAATCGGTCAAAGCTATCAACTGATTCCGAATTGACGCATTTTGCAAAATGAAAATACGGATCTCTCTTGAGAGATGGCCTTTTATGAATGAATGAATGAGACTGTCATGATGCAAATGAACTGCATGAGCCGGCACAGTTTCCTGCAAAGATATGAAGTTGCATTAATATCCGGAGATTTCCGGCTCTGGGTGTGACGGCCAGATTTTTTAATAACTTTTTTCCCCCTTTAAAACAACTACTTTTTAATTCTTTCCTCCGTGCAGGTAGAAGAAGTCTTTTCATCATAAAGAAAATAAAAATTTCATAATTTCTTGGCGTTTTAAGGTGCCTGGAGTCGAAAAAAACAACTGCAAACTTCAGACCACCATGACACCGGTTAGGTTTTCTTGGGGAGTTTCCCCCAGAATTTTCATAGAATTCTTTCGTATGCTGTGGTATCAGTACAAAACCTTTTCAAGTGTTCGTCGACAGGCGTCTTATTTTCCGTGGGTGACCCGATTGGATGTATCAATTGGAGCTCGTCTGATTTTTAACCCTGACATTGAAACCATGCTCTCATAATGTGGCATGTAACAGAATTTAACATCGTGCAGTCAGATCACCGAATCAAGCCTCATGCGTGAACTTATTACTGAGTGTAGCTCCCCCTCTCCTGGGTCGATGTCGCCGTCTTAGTCCCATAATTTAAATCATTTTACAACATAGATGCATGTAATTCAGAAAATTTTGGCAGCATTGTGGATCTACAGACGGATGGATTTTCCTCATTTTCAAATATCGAGTTGTTTCCTCAGTGATGGAATTACGTTCTTAAACATTGTGTTTCCTCCTACCCTTCTTGAAAATCAAAGATGTTCCCAATGGTTCCCCCACCTAATCCAATACTTTGTGAAGTACGCATCTACTCCTTTAAAATAGAAAGTGTTCGGCTGTGATTATGACTGACACCGTTAAATCACTCGGCTCTGATAAACATGTAAGTCTGCATGGTTTTAATTATCTTACTTCAAAGGAAAAAAATTGTCCAATTTTTTCACGTTAACCAATATAATTTTTATAGAAAAATGGAGGAGACACTTATATAATACACATTTTTAAAAAAATTGAAAAAACGAAATTGTGACGGTTACGAGACTGGATGAGTATAATCAACGGAAAATCTTGCCACTGTATTAGTGCTAGATTTCTACCAGTATACCCCCAACCGGTAGATGCGCCATTTTACCCAAGCTTTGAGTAAGTCTAGGATGCATGTCGACGGTGAAACTACCAAACCACGTATCTCGGTTTGCGACGTCGCAGACTTTCTGTCATACTTTATTTTTTAAATGAAAAGCTACTTAACGTCCAGTCTTGAAAATTTCCGTGATTTTTCCTCTTCGTGCGGAGAAAATTCTGTGAAAATTTCAAGGAATGATATTGATTTGGTCTACCTCAAAAAAATAAAATGCGAGCGTAGATTTTTAAACACCGCAAACGAGATACGTGGTTTGGTAGTTTCACCGTCGATATGCATGGCCAGCACTGTCAGGAATATTGCAGTAGTTACTAGACTTTCTGAAGAATATTTACAGTTAGTCTGGTAACGACTAAAATTCTTTTTTTGCTTCAAATCGAGAATGCAAAATAGGAAAGACGCTTTACATTATGAAATAATTGGTTATTATGAATATAATTAAGTTTCGTGCGTAAATTTTCTCTCGTTTCAGTAATTTATAAAAATCCTTTTTCAAAACGTAAAGTTTTAATGTGCCACTTCTGCACACACTGTTGTCGATATGTTTTGATAGTCATAGTATACTTTTTTAAATGACATTCAAACTCCTAACTAAAGACAGTGTAAATCCGTCTCTTCAATATAAAAGAATAATGAGCTAGAGCTTTTTTGAGAGAACAAAATCGTAGCCTCAAGTTAAATGATAAAGTATGGTAAAATTCTTACACGAATTTTCGTCGCTCCTCTGACGTAAGGGCGTATCTTGATTTCCACGTGAACCCTGTTTCACATATAAATCCATGCTTTCTAGAGCTCATGCAGAAATCCATTCATGCCCTTACGTCAGAGAAGAAATTTCTGGGACTGTCAATGGAACAACAACAAGGATCAAGTCACCCCTCAATTTCCAACAATTTTCATTGATTTTACGACTGGAAATGAATCCATGACGGCTCAAAACGTCCTACTCTTTTAACGTTTCTCTTATAATTTTGGCCTAATTTGTTTATGCATGTTTATATTTTTTACTCTGACATATTTCTATCCATAGACTCGTCGCATTTATCAGTAGGTCAACATTCAGCAATAAAGAACGCCTAATGCTGACTCATCTATAAAATCATCTATCTACATAGGAAGACAAATAGCACATGAGATATTCTTAAAATGAGCGAGAAATCATAAATAGGTCTCCATTGCAGAATGTCATCCAGTTGGACGGAGTAAATCATGACCTTGAGCAATTGCACATTTAGGTAGGGCTCACTCCTTGGAGCGGGAGGTAGCAGAAAGGGTGTGGGTGAAGAAATCGGGAGGTGAGGGTGAGGGTGAGGGTGAGGGAGGGTTCGCTGGGGAGAGAGGGGCTATGAGACGTGATCGAGCGTGATAATAACCGTGAGATGGTGATTTGTCTCGCTCTTTTCGGCGTTTCACACTGCCATTGATATGCTTTATGATTTACAGCGTAACACCTCGTTAAAAGTGTGACTGATTCTAGATTTGTCTCTGAATTTGCATTTTGATAATATTTAAGATGACATAATCCAGTGCAGATATTTGCATTGATAAAAAAATTTATAGTCTAAATTGTGATAGAGTTACCGAAATACGTACCTTATGCGAACCATACCTGCGAAAATACCTCTACAGAGGAACACCAATGAAGAGACGTATACACGATTTTTATCAACGCCTTACGTAGGATTTTTTCTGCAGAGTTTTAGGTCGGCTGCCTTTAAATATTACGTCATTTATTTGTATCTATGAACTCCGTTTACTGGTACTCCAATTCGATGGCCCAGAGCAATCGGTAAAATGAAGTAAGGCAATTTTTCCTCAAGCCTCTAATCATGCTTCGCCATGTTTTGAATCGACCGTAGGTTGGTGTACAGTTCTAGCTGGACTTTCCTTTAATTTTTTCGCCAAAACAAATATTCATGGCTATCAGGGCACAATACCTGGAACAACTAAAAAAAGTCGGGATGCATCCTCGGAAAAGTCATCCTGCAGTGCTTATAAAACAACTTTGCCGCATTCGTCGTTCGTAAGTGTTGGGACGGCAGCCAAGATTTCAGATTGGAAAGAGCATACTGTTACATAAATCTTACGAACATGTGCAATAGAACTTTTTTTGCCAGTGAAACTAAAAAAAAATCAGATACGTGTATTTCGGCTTGCGATATTGCAGATTCCCTGTCGCATTTAATATTTAAAAATTAAACTGACATCTTTTTTGTTCCAAATTTTGTGCAAGATATCAAAATTATTCTTTGAAAATTTCGGTTTTACACTTCAAAAAGATCTTCCCGAAAGGAAAAAATAAATCACTGTAGATCCCTTTTTTTTTTTTTTTTTTTTGCAATTTCAATTACCAGCAACGTTGAAATACATAAAAACAACAAATCCTTTTTTCGAGAGATCGGCCATTTAATGATAAAACATATTAACAGTTTACTTAATCAGCACAGTGAGCAACGCTGGAGTTAAGTCATGGTATATGAGAAACGAGCAAAGCACCGTTAAGCATCGCATGCACCGAACACTAAAAGAATTTCATTTTAACGGCTGGATGCAGCTATTCGAGCTCCACAGATGTCCGGGTTGCATACGCACGGACGTGAAGGCGTTTTGATTCTCCAGACACTCGCCGCACAGTGGAGTATTATACCCGAAAAGCTGGCGAAAAGTCCAAAAAATAAATGTGGTAAAAGTTTGGTAAAACAGGTTAATAATGATTCTCTGATATCTACTGCATGACATTGTGACAACAGAATCCGCTTAATATTACTGGATGGTCGAGGAAAAAAGGGTAAACCCAGCGGTTTCGCGCGCATCTTAGCTCTAGTTCAGTAGGTATTGTTTACGTTCAGCTTTTCAATCAAAGTGTGTATGCAGTGACAGGTACAAGCTACATCTGCAGGCTTATTGGCAGCCATTATTCATGGTAAGTAGTCCCTTTTTACACGTATATTACTATAATTATAAATTTGATTGTGTGGCATGTATACAGGGTGATCCAAAAGTCCCTTCCACCCCCTCTAACTTTTTACCTAATTGAGATAAAGATTTGAAACTTGGGGGATATTCCTAGGTCAACGGGAGCTACTTTTTGGCCCCCCTAAAATTTTCAGGGGGGCCCCCCTTGGGGGGGCAACGGCCCCCAACTTTTAATTTTCAAATGGGAAGACCCTCTTTGTGATAGCTCGTTCAAAAGAGCATAAAAAAAGAAAACTTTTCGCGCAAACCCGAAGTCAATATCTCAAACCGTTTCAAAATGGCGGCCGGTTAAAGTTCAAAATGGCCGAAAATTCACACCGGTTATTCGTCGATGGATTTGCGCGAAAATCGGTATGTAGGGGTATTTTGACACGAGAAAAACGAATTTGACGTTAGATTTTCAAAAAAATCGAAATTTCCAAAATGGCCGCCGATTAAAGTTCAAAATGACCAAAAATTGATTTTTTTAGAAATCTAAGTTCAAATTTGTTTATTTTATGCCAAAATACTCTCAAATTCCATGTTTTAGGCAAATCCATCAGGAAAAAAACGAGGTGACAATTTTCGGCCATTTTAAACTTCAACCGGCGGCCATTTTGGAAATTTTGATTTTTTTGAAAATCTAACGTCAAATTCGTTTTTCTCGTGTCAAAATACCCCTACATACCGATTTTCGCGCAAATCCATCGACGAATAACCGGTGTGAATTTTCGGCCATTTTGAACTTTAACCGGCCGCCATTTTGAAACGGTTTGAGATATTGACTTCGGGTTTGCGCGAAAAGTTTTCTTTTTTTATGCTCTTTTGAACGAGCTATCACAAAGAGGGTCTTCCCATTTGAAAATTAAAAGTTGGGGGCCGTTGCCCCCCCAAGGGGGGCCCCCCTGAAAATTTTAGGGGGGCCAAAAAGTAGCTCCCGTTGACCTAGGAATATCCCCCAAGTTTCAAATCTTTATCTCAATTAGGTAAAAAGTTAGAGGGGGTGGAAGGGACTTTTGGATCACCCTGTATACATGCCACACAATCAAATTTATAATTATAGTAATATACGTGTAAAAAGGGACTACTTACCATGAATAATGGCTGCCAATAAGCCTGCAGATGTAGCTTGTACCTGTCACTGCATACACACTTTGATTGAAAAGCTGAACGTAAACAATACCTACTGAACTAGAGCTAAGATGCGCGCGAAACCGCTGGGTTTACCCTTTTTTCCTCGACCATCCAGTAATATTAAGCGGATTCTGTTGTCACAATGTCATGCAGTAGATATCAGAGAATCATTATTAACCTGTTTTACCAAACTTTTACCACATTTATTTTTTGGACTTTTCGCCAGCTTTTCGGGTATAATACTCCACTGTGCGCCGCTTCAAACAAACGTAGTCTGAATGTTCCAAGAACGCGAAGGCTCTATGTCTTGGTATAAAACAAAGCCGAGCTATTAGCCGACTTTACAAGTATAATATGCAATAATTGCTACTCAGGCCATGCTTTAATAAAAAAAAAAAAAAAAAAAAAAAAAAAAAAAAAAAAACAATGTGCAAGAGGATGTTAATATATTTGCAATTATTGCATATTATATTTGTAAAGTCGGTTAATAGCTCACTTTTTTTTCGCATTATGAGTAGCCGAAAACCTAAATATCTTGTTTTAATTACAATACATAGTCACCTTCCGACCAAAGTCTCACAAGCGCCATGCGACGTTTCAAAATTTCTGCCGCCATTTTATTATTTTACAAAGAAATTTTTAGTTTAATCTGTTTGAAAATTTCTCTGAATTTCATCAGCAGCACAAAGAAAATTCAGTGAAATTTTCGGACAGCTTCGTTGAACAATCTCTCTGTAAAAAATAGAATGGCGGCGGAAATTTTTAGACGTTGAATGGCGTTTGTGATACTTTGGCCGGGAGGTGACGATTATACGATGAATAATCTTGAGGTTTTGGATTGACTTTTCACGTGGGCGGTCACATATACTAAAAAAGAAATTTTAATCCAACTGCTGATGAATGTGTATTTATCATTTACAGCAAACTTTGAGCACAAAGATTATAACACGAGAGGAACCTGAGCAGATATTAAACAACCATGATCATAAAATTGTTGGAGATCATTATTACGCTGTGGCTATGGACGTCGATCGTTTCTGCTCAACTACCAATGCTAGGCCCATGTCCTGATGACGTCATGTCAATGCGCAACTTCTCTTTCGTTCAGGTAAGAATGATTTATCATCGTCTATTATAGTAGCCCTTATCTGTAGAGACGCTTCTTAAAATGAACAAGTTTGATAATTGGGCGTATTTATGCTAAAAGGAACTATGTACATCGGGTTTGCATGTAACATAGTCCCTTTTAGCATAAATACGTCAAACTGACGTTTATTAATAGGTAGGTTCATATTCTATAAATTTCTTTGGAGACCGGGCAAAATTATGATTCGCTAAGGTTGTTTCATGAATAGGGCCAACTTCTCAAGTGCTCTCTGAAACTGCATCAATTTTCAAGTCCACTAAATTCGTTTAAGTTTCTCGTGGTGCCTTTTGATACAGTCTGATTTCATGACAGTCATAATTTGGACTGGACCAAACTAAATAGGCCTATGTGGGTGCTGAATAAAATATTGTTGCTACATCTTCAGCGTTATTGCTTTTATTGCTCTGCTGAGTTTTCAAAGGAATCTTATATAGAAAGAGTTTAACGAATATATTAACATCATGATCCAAGTAGCTGTCTCGGCGAGTGAAATATCGAAAAAATTCCTCCCGAAGTTGATAGGATACGATCGCTGGACTTTATAAAACTCCTGCAGATGAGCGTGATACCAAAAGCTATACTGAAATAAATGTATTGCGCAATCGTCTATTAGAAGGAAACGTCTTAGTTATGCACTTTCCATCAGAGATGGAAGTTACCTCATGGTGTTCTTCAGAGTATTAGAAGATGTTTCGTATCGAAAACTGAAAATGTATATGTTTGACTCAAGACCGGGTTTTTCAATCCACTGAGAATTTTGAGTTTCCACCTCATGGCACATTTTACCCGACTCCGTCAAAAATTTAGCATAATTAATTAGATGAATTTAACCAAGACCAACGTAACTGTCTCGCGTTGCACAATTTCCTCTCATGTGTCACTTATGTAACGGACAATTAAACTATGTACAGCAATTAAATTCTCAATCAACTTTTCCTGAATTATAAAGCATACACTCACAAAAATGCATGTTAGAATCTAGCTGCGTTTCCTGTCACACAAATGAAATGTGAAAGAAAATTAGGCAAAATCAACGGAATAATTATTGAAAATAGACAAAACAACAAATAAAAAAGAAGAAGGGAAATGGGGCGATCCTTTTGGTGGAATCGGGTAGGTGCAATATGCAAAGAACGTAGTAAGAGACTGCCTTACAGCAACCCGCCAGAAATTCTGTAGTTTTTAGTTCCCCATTACCTTCTACAGTCCATTTCAACCAATAGGATCGCTCCATTTTTGCTTTGCTTTCTTTGTCCATCATTTTGTCTATCAATATCAGTAATCAACCCGCTGATGTAGTTAAGCTAATTCTGGTCGAATTCGTTCCATCAATATTGACTAAGCATTAATGATCTTAGATGCCCAATTAATTCCAAATGTTAGTTTTTAGGAATATGGCATGAGCAGTATCGGTACTTTATCAGAGGTGAGGAAGGCCACACATGCGTTGTTTTAAGCTTGGAAAATAATGGCGATGGAGCTATCGGAATAACTATCTGGAACTATGATGAATGGTACGCAATTTTCATTTCATTGTTCGGGGGACTCATGGGAGCACCGTATAATCCACCTATCTGAATTATCGAATTTTGATTTCTTCTCGGTGATCCAAAAAGTAACAGGATTTTTCAATTGTAATTTTGTACCTACTAAAATCTGCCTTACTACCAATAAAACGTTAACCTTTACACAATCTTTTGACCAATCAAATTTTTTTGAAGGAAATGCTTTTAAAGCACAGTAAAAGGGGTATGCAGTGAGTATAAGTACACTTTTTCCTTTTTACAGTCTTTTGGCCCTAGTAGCACTTTTTATACTAAGTATAGCAGATACGTATGCATTAGTATAGTGAATGCCACCAGAACAATCAATGTACTTGCTTAAAAGTCTACCTGGTCCCTTCACTATCCTTTCTTTCCGAGCAAAAGTACTTAAACTTGAACAAAACTTTGTTTCCTCATAGTAGAAAATTTTATTTTTTCAATAAAACTGGGGTTCTCTCACGTGTAAAATTTAAGGGATTGAAATTAAAATTTAAAACAAACTCCATGAACATTTCAAAGAAAGAAGGCCTTTGGCTTTCTAAAAACGAGTATTGGATTATGCAATACAGCAACTCGTGTTCCGATCCATTGCCTGAAATTTCGAAATTTAAGCAGGTAATACATCAACCTGCTCTCAATTAATGTTAGGCATTGTGATCATAGCATTATGAAAATTCGTCGCCCTTCTAACATAAAGGCGTAACCACACTTTGCGTGACGTGCTTTGCGATAGATCGATTGATCTGCCATTTAAACCTACGGCAAAGGATCGATAGATAGGGTGTCCGCAACAAACACCTTCATAATCGATTCTTTACCATAGCTTCAAATGTTGAAATATCAAAAATCGATCATTCACGCCTCGCCACTGTTTTGCGATGAGCCCTGTCTTTCATATAACCCGTCACTTTCCCGGGTTCATCGCTAAGAGAAGTTACGCTTTTTTGTCAACCAAGCGACAAATTTATCGTCGGACATTGCATCATTTAAAACCCGCATGGACCCTTGAGGAGGGTAGTTTCACGGCAAACCTATAAAAAAAATTCCTGTACTCGAGATCCAAGAAATGAACGTAATGAATGCAAGCATAGTCTCAACAATTTTGTAGGTGCATTGTAGCGAAGGATGTGAGGACGGATTTCAGATCAGTGTTGCATTTTAACCGGAGACTTTATCCCTTTTTCACGCGTACCAAATACAAAATTTAATAATTGTTTAGTAAAAATTTGTGACGCTGTTTGTAACTGCGGGTTCGTTGCAATTCCTTGTCGCGCTCTCCGGAGGTGACAGACCATGTGCTTAGGTTTCCTTCAGCACGCTATTAAAAATAATGATTCATTAGTGGAAAAATGTCTTACGCTTTAGTGCACGTCTGCACGGCCGTCCCGATGAAGTGTGGCGCTTGGCAGCCGCTCAGAATGACCCTGCAGGGAGCACTTACACTTTTGTTAACAATGAGTCAAGCCCCCATCCCCGCGGAGGAAGGCCAAGGATACGCTCTTGTTCGAACCGTCAACTTCATTCTGATTTTAATTTGCAACGAGTGCACTCACTCACACCACCTCAACAACCATTCATACAATCTCTCACACTTGAATGTCATTTCTTTTTTTGACGCAGAACTTATAGACGCACGTTTCTATCCCCTTTTCCCGATTGATTCACAGTGAATTCCTCGTCGCTCAATGAATTTCAACTAGACTTACGTTAATGCTGATGCACAAATGGACTGCATTTTTCGATTCAGAACTACATTCCTGGCGATGTATGCACTTCATGAGCCTTCAGACGTTGCCAAGTTTCCTCTGATTAAAATCGAAATTAATTGGGAAATTCTGAATATTATTTTTTCAAATTTTCAGACAATTTTGTACACAATATAATCTAAAATATCCGGAAATATCAAGGAAAAATATGCATAAATTTTGTCAAAAATACAGGTTTTATCCATGGAAATGTGGCAACTCTCGAATGTTCATACGACATTTTTCCTTAGCACGGCAGTGTGGCCTTCCGGACTTGCGCCATCATCGGAAACACATCGGAGGTAAGTGTGTACACACAAAGCTGCAAATGTTTTTTTGTGTTTGTATCTTTGTAGTCGGTGTGCTTTGATTGCTGTAGATAATTGCAGTAATTAACTTTGTGTATACATACTTAACTCCGATGTGTTACCGATGATGGCGCAAGTCCAAAAGGCCTCATGGATGAATTAAATAATAAGAAAATTCCCAGCATAATGGTCGGAAATTCAATTCTTTCATTACCTTTAATTTTATTTTTATTCTTCAGTACGGATCAGATAAATAATAAAAATTAAGTGGGACACAAACGGAAAACGTCGATGACGAGAAAGAGATGAGATGGTTCTCTTTACTTTTTCTCTTCCTTTAATTTTTTAATTATATGTGGATGGAATAATAACTTATGCATGTAGCATTATGCAAAGCCAAACATGACAGCACCATCATGTCTTTATCCTCCGCTCGACATACATAATTTACACAATCATTACTGAAAAATCCTTGATAATTTTCTTTCTTCACTTTGTTTTTATACATTCAGTACATTTTATCTTTTTGATAAAGGATGTATATTTTGTCGACAGTCTGGACAGAGAAACGGTAGTGAAGGGAACCGGCAAACTTGGCGGACGTGGCAGGGATGATGGCCGACTTCTAATTTCATTTTCTTATGGTAAATCTACTCTGCTTTTACCCTTTAAATGAGTTTTTTTAAGTTAAAAATATTTTGCCGTAATCTGAAAGGCAAATTCTTACCAGCCGAAAAATTATTTTGCGTTTTTTTACAAGCGAGTTTGATCGATTGACTATGTGCAATTCACGCCTTTGTTGCAATAAAAATTTAAAAAATTAAGTGTTACGGGAGAGACATGTAATAAAATATATACAAGTCAAAAAAGTATTTTCAAAAATATTTTATTCACTTATTCAAGAGATCTAAAACATTACTATGAGACTAATAATTACTGAGACTGACAATGTGCACATAGTTGGAATATCTAATGCCCATCAATGTCGTCAGAGAGTCACTTCAATAAATTTATCAAGCACAGAAAATAGCGTGAAAAAACTAATTACCCCTGGGGTTATTCAAAATTTGAGATTTCCATCTTACTTTTCTTGTAAAAGACCAAAGTTAAGGCCGAGAGAAAAAATTCAACAGGAAACTCCATCTCACGTACGTCCACCCTTTGAAATTTCTCCTCACGAATGTATAAGTTTGTGAATAGCTTGAGTTCTTTCGAAATACATGAAGTTTCTAGTGAGATGATTTCCCAATTGAGTTTGGATCAATGGTTTGATATCGCAAAACGGTTCCATGCTAGTATTCTGTGTTCATTCTGTAATCAGCAAGCACTTAAATAATTCCAACAACGATTTGGCGTCAAAAATGTACGTTTATTTATACCAATTACAGACCAACACAACTACCAAACATTTTAGACGGTGCGCGTGAAGAATACTATAATTTCATTTGATGGGAAAAACGAACAGTCACTGCGAAATAATGCAACAAAAAAGGAGTTTTGCGGATCATTGCCCGCCTATTACGAGCGTTAATGAATTGTATACTGATTGAGATTCCATTCTTATTTGGCGATTTATTGTATCTGCATGATATTACTTAAGCTCAGAAACTATTTTAAATGCACGTTTCGAGGCTTTTACGCCTTCCGATTTTGTTTTCAGGTCCGGATTTACCATTTTGGGTGATCGATACAGACTACGTGACCTACGCTGCTGTGTGGGGCTGTAACGATTATTGCTCCATCAATTCCCGTAAGTTCAAAAATAGATCAGAGTTTGCGAACTGTTTTTGCTCCTAAGTAAAATGTAAGATAAGGATCAGCAAAATTCGAAAAGCCCCAATATTCGATGCAGCAAAACGCCCGGAATTCATACCTACAATAATTGAAGAATCGATAAATGGGTGGATGAGGCTTGCAGTGCTGCTGAAATTTTGTTGCATAATTCGTGCTGCTAAATGTGCGTAAAATAGAAAAATCCACTCAAATTATGGGAATGTGAGCAGTATGCGACAATGCGTGAATCATCGGCTTTCGATATTTTAATATGTTGTCTCCCGAGCGAAGGAATGTAACTCCCCTCCAAAATTGCAAAATTGATTTAAACAGTTCAATTTTTTAGAAAATGTACTTGTGCAATTTGTATTCGAAATTTTTATGATTTTTTCATGAGATCAGAAGAAAAATGAGTGAAATTTTCAGCTAGTAATTCCTTAGCACCTCTCGGTATTAACGCATGCGATTTGCGAAGTGAACTTTGGCAACATTGAAATGTAGTTACGTTCTTTTCAGTGGCGTGGCGTGCTTTGCGATATATCGATTGTTATTCCATTTAAACCTATGGAAAAGGATCGATCAACAGGGTGTTCGCTGCGAACACATTAACAATCGATTCTTTACCGTAGGTTTAAATTGCATAACACCCGATAAATCGCAATTCACGCCACGCCACTAGTTCTTTCGTGAGAGGAACGACAAACCGTCGATTTATGAGACATTCGAGCACCCTGATCATTGATCCTTTCCTATTGGTTTAAAGGGCAGGAAAATCGAGTTAAGAAATCGATGGCAGAGCACTCGGATGGATTGATAATTTTAAACGAAGAGATAAATTGCACAATCTCGACAGCATTACAAACTTTTCATGCACTTTTACCTGAAGGGTCCACAAATTAAAAAGTAACAAATGATCTTCAATAAAGACTCAACAGCTACATGGTTTCTCTTCCCATAAGAAGCGTATTTAAGGAGGTATAAGCGACGAGCATCGTGTACCTACACTGCCGTGCTAAGGAAAAACGCCGTATGAACCCTCAGGCGTTGCAAAATTTCCCTTGATAAATAAGAGTCCCCTAGTAAACTTATGGATATTTTTCTTGCATTTTTTCAGATAATTTTGTTCGCAATTGCCAAAGTTCCTGAAAATTTCAAGGAAATATGCACTTAAATATTACTAACAATATTACTTTATGTATATATTATTCTACCTCTCCTTCTCTATTGCTAATGATTAATATATATCTTCTCTTTATCTATTAATTTAATATATTTAAGTGCTGTTTTATGTCAGCACTTAAATATTACTAACTATATTAATTTATGTATATATTATTTATGTATTATTCATATCTTTCCTCAAAAATAAACATTTCATTGAAGAAAATTCGGCAACTCTCGAATGTTCATACGGCGTTCTTCCTTGGCACGGCAGTACAACTCATAATATTAGTGTATTTAAACCCGAAACATTCAAAACCGACGCATCGTCGTGTAGATGAAATAATTTTAAAACAAGGGCGGCAGCTTTTTTATCGAGTGAAAATACCGATAACATGAAGAACAAATGACTCTCAAGAATGCCTCCTAAATTATGACGACTGTTCCCTCAAACTTACGACTTCCTCTTTGAATTAAAAAGTCGTTCCGAGTAGCATCGCTTTCCTAACGATTCCACCGAAATGGGGGAGTCAAACTGGAGATGCTGTCCCGGAGGACAGCTGCTCTTTCCACTCATCTTCCCAGATTTTGTTCTGGGTCTGTCATAACATGAGACAATGTCCCCTGGGAAAAGTCATCACTGAGATGGGTCTTGCGAGGGTGACGCTGCGACAACTGAAAGGACCCTGAATTTCAGGATAACCTTGAGTCAAGTCGAGGGAAATTTATAACGTCTCATATCTGAAAAATAAAAACCAACTATTTTAAGTTTTTAAACCGTGCGATTATCCGTCAATCAAATGAATTAATTAGAGAGTGCCTAAAAAGCAACGTAACCAACCTTCCCCTCCATTCGTCTTTCCTCCCATGTTGCAAAGCCCCCTTATGTTCCCTCAGACAATAAAATAAGTTTAAAAATATTTAAAATTTGTGAAGGTTGTATTTATTACTTCCCAAAATTGTGAAGTCCTATAAATATACATTATGTGAGGAACTTTTTGAGTTAATAATTGTGTGGTTAGAGTGTTCCCTGAGAAACTATTGTGGCTATAATTCTGACTTTTTTCTTTTTATTAATTTACTCCGGGTATATTCCACGTTTAACTTTCCACTTACCAACAATATTCTTATTCGTAAAAAAAATGTATCTACCTTGAAAGGGATTAATTGGGATTTTAAATCACCTTAAAGTATCATATGTACGCATTCATACAAATGTGTGTTCAGTATATGTAATCTGGCAGAAAATTTTAGTTTGATTAAAATGACACAGTCCTCCTCCTAATAAATTCTCTTTCACAGTTTGCTACGTTTCAGAATTTACACTTTCCATCACTTAGTTTGAAGAATAATAACTAATAATTTTGCGTGAAGTGTTCCTACTTTTTAAAAAAATGCGACGTTTCCAAAGTCGCAAACTCACACTCTGAAGCGTTATCTGCTTTAAACATTGATAAATCTCAAATTCTAGAGCCGATATCTCGACAATGCGCATGGGTGTCCTCATAACTTGCAAGAAGTGTTTTTTACTCAGATTTTAGAGGACGACAAAAATTATCGGTGTCATTTATTCTTGCTCAAAGATCTTTTCCTTAAATAAAAATCCTCCTAACTACATCTCAGATTGCTCGTTGGGCAGTTTTCCCTACATGAGCTCATTGGTACTTAGCTCACCATGGGGGCATCCGGGGGAAGATTTACGTTCGAACTCTGAAATTTTATTTCGAGTCGCAAATCACAAACCAATCGCTGTTATTTGAATACACGTTCATTAACTTTAAAATCGCCCCCGGCAATAACTATTCACGCGACCGTTCCAGTACACTTTTATGGGACCATGAAACAAGAGAATTGTGAGGACCGGACAAAGAAATCTTTTTTTATCAGCCGCGTAGTAAAACAAACATACAAGCATTAAAACTCCGCCCAGACACCATGAAATCCATGCTTCGGGTCGTAAGTTTACGTTTTAATACCTCGGTTCATCGACTCATCCTTTATTTCGGTTTCATTCCGAAAGTTTATTTCAGGGGCCCAGAGGAATCCTCAAGATTTGTCGTCCTTGCGCTTAGGATACAGCGGAGCATAGAATTTCCCCACGTTGTCATTTATAGGTTCAAGTTGACTGTAAATACACGCGTTCAACTAGGGAAAAAATAATGCCAGCTTGGACGGATGCAATAATGTGATTATTTAACGTCCCCATTGAAATGATTTTAGTTCGCCCCCTACTGCGTTTATTCAGTGCATGTTCAACGAAATATGTTATGCTCATTTTAAGTAAAAAGGAAAGAGGATACATTACAGGTACTAACTTTACATTAAGGAGAGTCTGTGAAATAACACGAAGATAATTTTGATCTCGAAATCACTTTATTGGTAAATTAAAATCCACTGTGAGCTTTAAAAAAAGAACATTTTTGTCTGCATAATTTTTAAACGTCAAAAATAATCTTTAATTTTACTGGCTTAATCTTAATCCTTAATTTTTATTTATTGACGGGATAAGAAATCTTGTTACAGCCAAAATCCAATTTTCTTCATTTCAAAAAGTGTCGGAGCTTGATGGAACCTGTTGAGCTTCGCTTTCGCGTCATTTAGCGTCATTTTTCTGAATAATGGCAACGATAATGGATAAAAACTCCTAGAAAATAGTAACCTCCTCCCCCCACAAATTTTCGCACCGAAACAATTTACCCGTCGTTTTCCGAGTGATGAAAAGCAACTCCATCTCAAAGTGGCAAAATTGACTCAAACGATTCAATTCTTTCCAATAATGTACGTGTGCAATTGTTTTTCAAAATTTTCCTGAATTCGCATGGGATGAGAGGAAAAATTAGTGAAGTTAGTAAAAAATGCCCAAGATTCTGGCGATAAAAATCCGATTCTGGCGATAAAAATCCGATTCTGGCGATAGAATCCGAATTTTTAAGGGAATATTTGGCAATATTAAAATGTAGTTGCGTTCTTTCGCGACGGATGTACATCGATTTATCCAAATCTCAAAAAACCGACTTGCAGGAATTCTTAGATCATTCAGGGTAAAAAACTTGGTTTCCTCACTATCTTCGGTTCCTTCGAAAGTCTAACAGCGAATCATGATGCTTCTGCGATTTCGAAGCTGTAGTAAAGAATCGCTTAAAAGGATGTTTGTTGCGAACCCCTACTTATCTATCCTTTTCCATAGATTGAATGGTAGATTAATCGATATATCGCAGAGGACGTCACGCGCTTTTGTTTAACCGCAACCCTGATAAGCGCACTCTGAGGAAATTGCACTGTGCTCAGTTCCCTCACTGCTAAACTATGTCCCGAAAAAAAACAGGATGTTTATATGTGCTGGCAAAGGTACCCTAAAACCCATTCCGTGTTGGTTGCAGAGTATGCGTGGATCCTGACTCGAGACGTTTGCCCGGACTCGGACGCCATCCGAAAAGCCATGCTGGCATTCCGGATTAATGGGATTGTGACTCGACCCCTGATGCGGACGGGCGATAACGTCTGCTTCCCCGAGGACACCGAGGAGGACGACTACGATTGGTGACCGGTGGAGGTGGAGCTGACGACGATGATGATGATGACGATGACGATGACACCGGTGACGCATGGGACATGGCGTCCGGGCACATCCTCCGATCACCCTCGCGATACCGAATTTTTTCTCATCGCCGGGGTTTCGAGACGCGTGTTTTTCAACCCTTGTGACGCTGTTTTTTCATTCGGAATTTTGGGGTGTATCGTGGTTTTGAGGGAGGGTGGAGGCTGTAGGGTGAAAAGTGATGGGTGTTCCTAGAATCAATGTCGACGACAAAAAAAAAACAAAAACAAAAACAAAAAAACGCATTTCCTCTCGCGCCCACCTCGGTTGACAAAATTCAGATTTTTGTTTCTTTAAACAAATTTTATTTAAATAAAATGTAACCACGACCAGAAACGGTATACTATCAATCTAAATGATTATTTAAATTAAATTAAATTGATTGAAAAAAAGAAAAATAATCTTGAATTATGATACAATTTTATTTAAATAAAACGTAAGTACTACAAGAATAAGTATGGTATCAATCTGCATGATTATTTAAATTAAATTAAATTGATTAAAAAATAAGTTAAAAAATCAAAATGTTGACACAAAAAACAAAAACAAACGAAACGAATTTACTCTCGCGCCCACCTCGGTTGACAAAATTCAGAATTTTTTTTCTTTAAACAAATTTTATTTAAATAAAATGTAACTACAATCAGAAAAGGTATACTATCAATCTATATAATTATTTAAATTAAATTAAATTAAATTGGTTAAAACTAAAAAGTAACCTTGGAGTATGATACAATTACGTTTGAAATTATTATCAAGATTGCTGACACAAAATGAAAATCAGGCTAGGACTAAAATGCTGACTCGATCGGTCATTTGCTGATTTGATGCAATCGCCAAGGAGAAACCATTCGATTGTTTTTGTTCATAAATATAAATAAGAATTCTCACAGAAATAAGTGACATTGCGCACCACTGAAAAATGTCAAATTAACGGGTGATAAATTACATCGTTTGGAGAGAAGTCTTCACTTCGAGCCATGGCTGGATCATTAGATTCACTGATTAAATTAAATGCCTGCAAAATATTCCCCAGACCGGTTAGATTGCTGATGACTTATGACTTATGGCTACTTAAATACTCAAAATCAGATTAGCTCTCTATATTCCATTCAGCGTGGCGTTCCTTATTTAGAATTTTTTTCCTACCAACGCCTATGGGAAAAATGAGATTACCCCGGGTTTTTTTGTTTCATTTACTTTTCCCTCTCTTTTAATAGCGTCTCGATAATTGGACGTACTACCGTCAAACGGAACTAAGTGCATAATGATTTGAGCCCTGTTATGCATGTATTGTTAAGGGTCTCAGAGCTCATGTCTCAATGCACATAGTTCCGTTTGGCAGAACTACGTCCAATTAGTGCTGAGCAAGAATCAAGAGTAAAATTGCCTGCCTCCTTCTTTTCAGATAAAACCCTCCCCAGTCCTAATGTGTGAAAAAGTATGTTAAAGATCTTGCATTAGTAAATTTATCACAAACCTGAGCAGCATTTAGCCTTTTACGGCTTGGAGAAGAGAAGGAGCGATTTTTGTTTTGCTTTTCGATTGTTTGGTTTTAATTATTTACTGCTGAATTTTATTTAATAAATATATAATTAATGTCTTTAATTGTATAGTCCTCTTTTGTATTTAACAATGTTTTTATTATCTGTTGACTATCGTATATTTGTCAATTTGTGGGGACTATGACAGGACTGGGACTTATGATAGGAACTTTGCATCGTTCACTGAAAAATAGTATCTTGGATCCAGAGTTCAGTCTCTTAAAAAAATCTGACATGATAAAATACTCGTCATCCAATCGGATTTCTGCTTAAATCAAGAGGAAATCCGCTTAAATTATGAGGCTTGGTGCTCAATTTAAGCAAAAGTCCGATTGAAGCAAGAGTATTTTTTCTTGTCAATTTTTTTAAGAGTCTGAAATCTGGATCGAAAATGTTTTTTTTAGTGTCTTAAACCGAAAATACGCGTTTGTGCAATTTCAATGACCATAGAGCTGGAATAAGACCAAATTGTGGGGGTTTAGGGGCTTGCAAAGGGTTGTGTGGAAATTTGTGGGGTTGTATGGAAATTTGTAGGGTTGTGTGGAAATTTGTGAGGTTGTGTGGAGATCTGTAGAGTTGTGTGGGAGCTATGTAGGCTCCAGAATGAAATTGACTCCGCATTTTTCTCTGATATAATTTTAACAGTGTGCAGTTGTTTGGTTTCACATTCGACAACTGCCGAGCACGTCTAGAAGAATCCGATGCACCATTTTCCCACAATCTGGCATGCAGGTTCACTCTACGTGATCAGCGCAGCCTCTTGGACCTGTAACGATCTGTCTTCTTAATCGGCAGCCTGCACGAAATCTGGGGACGAGCAGAGTTATACGGTCACAACTGCCCACACCTAGCCGTAAGGACCCCTTGAAATCGATAAACAGGTTCCTGGCACTGGCATCATTATAATTATCACGTCCCGACATCAGTGTGACTTCCACGGTCGTTCCTGCGTATGTATTCGGGCTCGTTTCATCGATCTTCATCGGCAGAGAAATTAACAACCTGGAGAGGAGACTCGGGAATTAATGAAGGCACTTCGGGGTAGGGATTCGCGTCGAAAAGTATATCCAACGAACATGTTCGTCTCTTCGATGAGCCCCGCGAGATAATCTTGAAGGAAACACATCAACGAGTCACACCAATTATGCGCTTGGTTCTGGAGGATTTTTAGTATGTTCGCTCTTTGTGTCAATATGGTTATCCCTAGTAAACATAAATCGTCCTCCAAGAGCAAGATCGTCCTCCAAGAGCGAAATTGTCCTCCAAGAGCGAAATCGTCCTGTCTATTTTCATCCTCGTAAGACGATTCCAACGTAGCACAGATTAAAATTAATGGGCCTATTCCAAAATTCAGCATGAGTAAAAATCAGAGATTTTTCGTGAAGAAAATGGCTCAGAAAACGCGATGAGCGTATCGGGAAAGTCTGAAATACACTCCTAACCTCACAATCTGCATATGGAATATGCGTTTTCCCGCTCAAAAAAAGTAAAGTAGATTTTACCATACTCTGACACGACACAGTGATCCGGGTATAGTAACTAACACCAGATTGCGTAGTAGCATTTACAATATTGTGGTAAGAATCACCTAAAGTCTGGTGAATATTTCTATAATACTGGTCATTTTTACTGAATAGTATCACTGAGCAAAAAATCAAGTAAACTTATGGTAGCCATTACCACACTTTTTTCTTCAGTGACGTGAAGATTTCGTGAAGAGGAGCATCCAACCCTTGTGCCCTAGGATGCTACGCAATATTCAACATGGCCGATACCAACCCACCAAAATATACGTGACGAGACGGAACTGTATCAACCATTGTGATTATATTTTTCCTTGTGTTGATATAAAGACCACGAGGGTTAGATGGAATGACACCTTTTACGAAAAATATGTTCACGTGTGCCGTTGTATTGTTTTTGGGGGAGCACAAAAATCGCTTATTTCTTACGCAGTTTACGAAGCCTGGAGCGTATTTTAGACTTTCCCGGTGCACTCGTCGTGATTTTGAAGCCATTTTTTAAAGAAACAACTCCTCTTTTTGCTCTAGCTGAAGTTTGCAAGTTGCAATTACATGGAGAGACCGTTGCTTCTACATTGTCAGGTTGTGTATGTTTCCTGTGGCGTGGCGTGCTTTGCGATGTCGATTGATCTGCCATTTAAACTTACGGAAAAGGATCGATAGACAGAGTGTTCGCAATGAAACCCTAATAATCCATTCTTCACCATAGCTTCAAATAAGGAAATATCGATCATTCACGCCTTGCCACTGTAGGAGACTACAACGCAAGGATAGAAAAAAAGCCGGCATATGAACATCGTTTTACTTCGATTTCAGGGAACAGATGAATCCAGAAATTGCAGCACCCGCGAGCCTCAAAAGCAGGAACGGACAAATCCAGGTATTCCTCGCCCGATTATAGCCTCGCATTTTGCGATATATCGATTGATCTGCCATTTAAACCCATGGAGAAGGATCGGTAAACAGGGTGCTCGCAACGAAGATCCTAATAATCGATTCTTTACCGTAGCTTCAAATAAGGAAATATCGATAATCAATCATTCACGCCTCGGCACTGTTGCAGACTCTAACGCAAGGATAGAAAAAAAGCCAATCGATGAACATCGTTTTACTTCGATTTCAGGGAACAGATGGCTCCAGAAATTGCAGCACCCGCGAGCCCAAAAGCAGGAACGGACAAATCCAGGTATTCCTCGCCCGATTATAGCCCCGCTTGCTGCGATATATCGATTGATCTGCCATTTAAACTCATGGAGAAGGGTCGGTAAACAGGGTGCTTGCAACAAAGACCCTAATAATCGATTCTTTACCGTAGCCTCAAATGGGGAACTATCGAAAATCGATCATTCACGCCACGCCACTGCTGCTGGGGCTTTAGAAAATCCGAACTTCTCCCCGATCGGACTTGGCACTCCTCGGATTGAAATCGCGCAATAACTCGAAGCGCAGACGCAGAAAAAGTGACGCCATAATGTGCATTCAAGATTGATGCGGCTTAGCACTCGAACAAAGGCTGTTTTCATTGGGGAAGAAATAAAAACCACGCGCGCAAAAAGGCTCAAAGGTGCCGCCGAGGATACGGCAAAGGGGGGCTGCACCGGAAGAGGTGGTGAGAAAATCTGGTGGTTGTCATCGCTCAGCTCCCGGACGGATTGTATTCATAAAAGTCTTCCCCCGGGATTAACAAAGCCAAGCTCCCCCC